ATTAATTAAACGAGAAATATATCTCTAATGAAGCTCGAGGAAAAAAGTTTAATTGAAATGCATGAAGAATTGTATATAATTTAATATTCCGTAGAAGTCCATGTGGTGTACACATTAGATTTTTTCCAAAACTGATAACTTTGAAATCGATTAGCCGTAGAACGTTCCAATTTTGTATATGGGACTGCTATAACAAGCAGTTATGCACCTCCCTTTTTTGCTGTAATCGGCAGTACCAAAATGATAATATCAAATAATATCAAACATTTAACAAAAAAAAAAAAAATATTGTTACGAAATGTACAGGCGCGGTAAGATAGCTTCCCCACAAAGCAGGTTTATGTTAAAATGGCAAAGGACGCAGGGTTGCCACATTACGAGAAATCGCGAGTTGACGACAATATTGGCGATGTGCCATGGACGGATGGAGAACCTTCGGAACAATTCTTACCGGTTTAGCCCGGAATGTTCTCGAACACAAGCCGAAAGCTATATAAACCCTGCTGGTCTACAGTGAGTTAGTGAGTTAGTGTGCCTCGTCGAGAGTGCGAGTGAGAGTGTACCTCGTCTAGCGAGCTGATAGTCAGTCATTGAGCGAGTGTCTCGAGGTCTAACGCCGAGTTGGTCTTCCAGTGTATCGAAGAGTCTCTTAGTGTATCGTGGTTAGTGCATCGTCCAAAGAGGGTGTTGATCTCCGGGAACGAACTGACCGAAGAGTCGAGAGCTAGCTCTGTGTGTCGTCGACTGCATCGCGAATTGCACGTGTAGATCTCAGAGTACGTGGATTCCGAGACGAACCGGCAGCGTCGGGAGCTGTACTCTGGTGCTCAGCTCTGCAGGAGGGTCCCTCCACCGTTATTGCCTGGCATGTGAAGGCTGCGTCGCTGATTGTTCCAGCGTGTTTATAGTAGATCTTCGACGACTGTAAAAATGTTTTGGAGCTGTCTTGATAAATATTGGTAAATAAAGTGTGTTTCGATACTTCATCATCAATTTTCGTCGTTATTCACTCGAAATCCACACGAACTCCGTACGAACGTGAAGGAAGAAAATAACGTAACAGCTGGTGTCAGAAGAAAAACGCAACAGTATTATCTTATTGATAACTTTTTTAGATAGATTTCTGTTTTTTAGAAAAATTCTTCCATTAACACTAAGTTGGAATTTTCTAAAATTCAGCTTTACTGAGTAAAAAATATTGTTTTTAGGACTAATTCGCGCGTTCTTCGCAAATTAATTGGTTTGAATAAAGTTATCGAATATTTTGCGTATAATTTTTCTTCGTTATTATCTCTTGTTATGAGTATTTATATTGCTTTTAAATATTTGCATGTAATCGGCAAAGAGTGTAAGGCATGTCGGGATGGCTTATGTCATTCCTGGGATAAGAAGTTGTCTTATTTAATATTTCTGGACTAGTGGTATGGTTTTCAAAGTGATAGGAAGAACGAAACGTGTATTCGCGACTCATTAATTATCCAGATTTAATGTTCTAAATTTGGAAAAAATGTTGTATTCGGGAAGTTTTATTTGAAGTATTGAAATAGTTTATATTTGTTTAGCCTATTACAGTATTTTTAGCCCAGAGGGGCAATTTGCCCAGAAGGGCTATTAATTTCGTTTTGACTTTTTACGTTGATTCACTTCTAAACGGCGAATCACTTTTTAAACTGCTGCCACCAAATATTATCGCCCTGTATTGTATTTAAAGAAATTAAATAATGAGATCTCTAAATCTATCTAGGTTCTCGCATTGGTGAAACAACGGTACCTAGGCCATCCAGTTTTGATAACGCTCGTCCTACAACACCAATATGGTATCTGGAAGCCCGCTTTTTTATTATCTATTTCAGATTTTGTAAAGCATTTATGAGTTTTTCAATTAGAAACTCAGCGATTTGAAAGCGAACACCGTACAGGAAAGAAAGGGGGGGGATATCTCCAGCGCGAGATTGTGTATCGGGATCTACAATTTTGCTGTGTAAATATTTTGTGATATTGCGGTTAAAATTGATTTTATGGTTTAAATTTGAGACATGATTTTAGTAAGTAAGGTACGCACAAAACGTAAAAAAAAGGGCCCCTTTGACGTAGATAAAATCTAAAGCATCAGTTTTTTCCTTCCTTCTACGAATTAAAAAGGAAGTATTGGATCTCGAAAAGTTTCAGCAAGCATATTTCAACAAACGAAATATGATTTTGACCGCTTCGAATGCAATTTAAACGATGTTTTTGCGTGATATCTGTACGTAAGGACAGAATAAAAACTCTTTTTTTTTTTTTTCCTTCAAAAAATTATAAAGCTGCGTTAAATTATTCTGAAGAATTTTTCTCTTGGCGTCTATACAACGTATGTTACGTACGTTCGTGCTTACGTACGTACTTCGCATAACCAAAAAGAGTAGCCTCATAACGTTGAAATTTGTTTGGACTGCTATAACATTAGATGTGCACCTCTATTTGGTTGGCAACGGCCGCCAACGTATATATATATATATATATATCTCATTGTTACCCGGCTCAGCTCAGTTTCTTTACCTCATATGTTGTAATTGTACTTTTTTTACTTTAAAAATCATTGAATTATGTTGTTATTATCTTCCGGTTAGGTTTTATGTGCCTTTAGTAAACGTGTGCAATATTTTTAGAATATCAACAATTTTAAATTGTTTTAACTTTAAAAAAACTGATTTTTTAACATGGCGACATATATGTTTACATTTGAAATGAGAATATCGATTTGTTTGCCAATCAGAAACTTAGCTTCGCAACAACAAAGAACGCCTTCTTTATTTTGAATTAAACATGCTTTTCCTTTGGAATTTTTCGAGAAATAATTTTAAGATTTACTTAAAATTTTTAAGATAATATTTTATGTTTTTTTACTTTGTCGCGAAGTGAGAATGAATTAATTGAATGAGAAATCTGATCGTCTGTGATTAACTGTTTTTTTTTTTGTTTTTACTTAATTTTTTTATACATTTTTTAGATTTATTATAAATTTGAATAGAACATGTGGCACGTTAGATAATTCTTCAAATGATAAATTTTGTGCATTCTGGGTTATAATATGAACGAAATATAATACTGTTAGGTATCAGCGCCAGAGTGTCGCATGGTAAACATACTAGAGTGAATTTTAAAAAATGCATTTATTCTATTGTGGTTTAGCGCTATCGACGAAGTACATTTAATCAATCCAATAATTTTGAAATGCAAGAAAAAATATATAATTTAATACTACAAAGGAAGTCATGTGGTGTACACACCAGATTTTTTTTTTTTTTTTTCAACCGTTTGACAGCTAAGCAATTCTTGCAAGAACGCATGAAAACTGCGGGATATATTTTGACTTGATGTTGTCCATTGACTTCTATTTTATTATAATTATAATGATATTTTGACTTGATGACGGAGCAACAAAGACACACTGAAACTTGCAGCGCTGCGTCGCGGTTTTCGAGACAAAATGAACGCAGGGCTTTTGCACCGCGTAGCAGTGAAACGGTTAATTTAATTTTTTTACTCTGTACAGACATTAGGTATTTTTGGAAGCAGGCAAGATGAAAAATGAGCATGCGCCTTCGCCGGGAATGGAACCACGGACCTCTGGAATACCGGTCCGCTTGCAGAACCATTACACCACGAAGGCATGCTAGGAAGGTGGGAGAAATACTTTATAACTCTTTACTTGTTTTTCCCTTAAAAGTATTATAGGGGACAAAAATGAAATCTAACTTTTAATGCTTTAGCCCGGTTCCTATACTTATATTTGGCAAAATATTATACTCGTTGAGAAAATAAAATTAGAAGAAGTTTGACTCCCATATGACAAAAAGTGATCGGGATATTTAATTTACAAAATTTGCAATTTTTGATGTCATTTTCAACTTGCCTTATGAGATCGTGCAATTAAGTTAGAATAATTCGAGTGAATAATGAAGTGCAAGAAAAAAAAAAAACGCTTGTTATTTAATAGGAATCGCGGTATTTACATCAATATTTTTTATTTGTTTCCAGGAATATGATTTGGAACAAAAAATCGATCTGGAACTCAAGATGCAGGAAGGCACTAATAAGCTATTGGCTGCTTGTCGGTATCAGCTGCAGTCCCTGGAAGCCATAAAATCCCTCCTCACTTCCAACGAAAGGATCAGTGCCTACATGATGGAACTGCAGTGCAGGAAGTCCCTCAAGCAGAACAACAAGTAAGCAAAATGTCGTTCACCTTCGAAGTGACATTTTAATAAGTTTATTTCCATTCTGTATCAAACACCCGAGAAGTAACCCAAAAACTAAACTAATAGCTATAACTGCAGGAATAGAAATAATATATCGGAAAGAATTGCTAAAGAAATTAATGCTGCTTGCTAAAGAAATGAATTAATGTAACTGAAACGCGTCTAGGAAATTACTTTTAGAAATGTTCCACCCTAAAATGCCCCAGGGAAATTGGGGCCTATTCGAACCCTTTGCCGTTTGAATCCCGGAAATAATGGGTGGCCATAATTAAACTGACAGTGCTCACAGTGTTCTGTAGCGCGATCTATTTGCGAGAATGACGCCACATTTTGTAGGAAGATTAAACAAGTACGAGGGGACGAGGATTCCGCTAAAAAACCAATTCGTTCAAAGTCACAACCGCTAGGGGAAATTTGGCGCTGGTAATAAAATGAGTGTTAACAAATGCAATCAATTACGAACTTACCTTTATTTTGCATTCAATGAGGTTCAATGTGGCTGTCGTTGTGGTTGGACCACATATTGCATTCTGGGCAACAGTAAATGCACAACACAGAAATTAACAATGTCTGCAGGAAATCTCCCATACAGTCTGGGAAGATTTATCCTTCACCGTAGCGCAGGTCCTGAACCACTCCCTTGATAGACCTTGGACTAAGGAACCCCATAGCCCAAGTCAACATGGGGGGAAATTAGGCGACCGAGGTGGCCATGCATTTAAAGTAGCGGCTAATGAATCTTTCTGTTGGAGTTCTGTCGTAAGCACCTGTTCAACAAAACAACCGCTACACAACATGTGAAGGGGGCTCCATCTTGCATGAAATTATTTCCCCCAGGCTTGTCTTTTATCGCTTTTTTAATCCTCTTTTTTAAAGTGGTGCCGTATTGCACTTGACTAAATCCAGAAAATGTGCATAAAAAAGGTATTTTATTCCATATTTAAATTTGCATTTTGTTAACACCTATTTTCCTATTACAACGTGCCAAAATTATTCCCCTAGCGGTGATTTTTGGAACTAATTTTTTTTCGCGGAATCCTTCGTCCCCCGTCTTGCTTAATCTTCCTACAAAATGTGGCATCATTCTCACAAATAGATCGCGCTACAGAACACTGTGAGCACTGTCAGTTTAATTATGGCCACCCGCTAGTTTGGTTGCTTATTAGAGTTTGCATGACATGGGGACACCTGGACAACGGAGTAAATGTCGCAGACGGATAGTCACAAGGAATAAAATTTGACAGTTCCGTTCACATTTGCGACACAGGGTCTGATCCCTTTACACCGTCTTCTGAACGCAGCTTTAAAATACTGGTGAGCCGAACGTCCTTTCGAGAGGTTTGGTGGTAGAGCAAGATAAGTGGAAGACTCTAGGATCCGTCCTCTTGGATGTTCTCCATGAAAATTGGCGCATAACTTTCCCCATTTTTCCGAGTGTAAAATCGACATGTGATGTACATTTTTGATGATGAGACTGCTAAATAATTAGTGGGTATTGGCCACTCCTGGCGAATGCATTAATTTGCAAACTTCCGGCCGTTTGAAACAACAGCAACAGTTTTTTCAATGTTTATTTAAAGATTAATTTACTTTAATGGAAATGAGCATAATTCCCATGAGGCACTTAAAAGGGAAGAATACAGTGGCAAATCTATTCAACATTGAATAAATGGCTATCTTGTTAAATTGGTGAGATAAAAAACTTCTTGAAAGTTACATATGACAGCGATATCCATATTGAGTTAGCATTGTATATTTCCATACTGAGTTAGCTAATAGTTGCGCATCCATCTCAAGCACATAATAGCTTATAATCTCAAGCACTTAATAATCTCAAACATGGAAATGCTTTTTCGCAAATACACTGCACACTCTGTACTTGTGTCAAAGGCTTCTTTTAATAATTAACGAAATTTTAAAGGAAGGGATTCCATTAAGGGAAAAAAGGGATTTTTTGCTTAGCAGGGTTACATGATTCACCAAACAAATTGAAAAAGGTTTATGGTGAGCAGTGCTGCTGAAATCAAATTCATAAAAAGTAATTTAGCAAAAATGTTTAAAATCATTTGATATATATTGTATTTATATACATACATTACACATACGTAAGTTCTTCATAAAGATTTTGTTTTTCCATTTTTAGAATCTCTCACACAACGCTAGTACCTTGCCGTGGAAAAGTGGCAATAAGTGGTAAGTTTTGATGCTGAATAATAAATGTAACTTCACGAATTTAGTAGTTCTTGTAATTCCGTCCATGGCTAATAACTTGGCAATATACACTCATGTCCATAAATTAAGGATAACTCACGCGGAAATCGAACTCGAAAATAAATATATCAACTGTAAAATCACTACACACATCTTCAAGAATCATATCCAAATTTCAGGAAGTAACAGAAAGAACACCGATGGTACAATGACAGGACGAGAGTGTAAGAGAGTGATATTAAGGATACAGGCAAAGAAGTAAATTGTTCACAGGCGAATAAGCATTTTCAGGCAATAATCACCAAATAGGTTATGACACAAAGGACGCCTTTGGATGATTTTTTACGTGGTATAATTTAATCGGTCCGTCTGGAATTGGGCGTACACCAACTGGAAAGTATCAACTAACTTGGAATTGCCCCGAGTGTCCACTCCAGGCTTGGGCAACAAACGATTCCAAGATTCTGGTAATGTGAGTAGACGGTCATAGCACACTCGCCCCAGAGTTACAATGCCGAATGAGGGACCGGTATTGGCATTACTGCCAACAGAACAGGCGGAGCAACAACCTCAGACTGTCTCGTCAGCTCTCGTCAGCCACTGGTAACGACGATTTCAACAAAGTGTAACAGGATGCTTAGGTGGCAATTGGTCTATATGCTCGTAGACCCGTCAGATGCGTTTCCACTTACCTGCTACTCACTGTTGCCTGCGGTTAGCCTTGGAGTACAGAGCATGGCATTGTGGACCCTGCAACAGTGGGCTTGTGTGATGTTTTCCGACAAGTCCAGGTTTAGCTTTTATGATTGTCGCCGGACTTTCATATGGAGCGCTCCAGGTACCCGTCACCTTCAAGAAAACATCATTGAACGACACCGTTACGGTGGTGCAGTGCTCGTTTGGGAAGGAATTATTCTGGGTTTCAGAATTGACCTGCATGTTTAAATTGGAACCACGACAAGCCAAATCTATCGGGACTCATCGGAACAACATTACTTTGTTTCGGGCGCATGGCACAATTTTGTTATGGATGCAACGCCTTCTCACCGTAAACATTGTATCGATCCTTCAATCGGAGGATATCACCCGTATGGCTGCCCAGCATCTTCTTGACTTGACCAGGTTAGCACGTATGGTATATGCTTGGCCGATGCGTTGCAGCCCGTCAACCTCCTCTAATGTCTATCCGAACTTCGGGAGCATGTTTTTTGGTGGGTGTAATATCCCCCAAGATCAGATCGATAATTTGATATTCCGTCATTCCTAGGCATTGTACAACTGTATTGGCAATCCTTCTGGGAGACATTCAATTTATTGAAACATCAGACCAACCATGTAATATCTGGTTTTTTTTGTAAAAAATGAAGTTTTTTTTTTTTTTTTTTTCTTATTTTGTCATTTGCTTCCAGGGAGAAAAAATCGCTAATTTTGTTTAATAATAGCGAACATATAGCAACTTTTTTTTTGCTCTTTACCTTTTGTTAAATAAATAAGCTTTACAAATAAGTCAAATTTGTTTTGCTTCTAACTCATCCTTTACCTGATTTTGCATTATCCTTAATTTATGGACATGAGTGTTGTTATTGTATAAAAGTTTATGATCTGTTAATTAACGATCAAAAATTAATTTATATGTATCACTGCGAATACAACGATATACTTCTTTGTGTGTTGGAGGAAGGAATCTAGTTAATTATATGTTTTATACAAGTATATGCTTCCGAAAAGGAACAAGCAGTTTAACTAATTTTAGTTTCAAACAAATATACTTTGATGATAATCATGTTACCATTCTGAAAAAACGGCTTCAACACAATCAACTAGTGAATGATTGATTACTCAAGGAAAAAATTTAAATGCTATCTGCTTTTTACCCCACATTTCTTTGTTACTGTTTATACTTAGATTTACTGCTGAAAAATGTTTTTATATTATAATATGTATCATTAACCCTTTCCGGCAAGCTACCTTTTAAAGTCGGCGTTTTGATTTAAAAAAAAGGTAGGCAGTATAATTAGGCCTAGAGAAGTACACAAGTAAAATTTTGTGAAGATAGCACTTATCGTTTTAATTCTGTGAATGTGCCCAAAGTGGGCACACTGATTGAATAGAGCTTCGAAAAGAGTGCTGAAACGAGCAGTGTTGTCAATGAACTGACCGATGAGATGCGGAGAAACAAAGAATACAGACTCTAAGTTGTCCTAGATGATCCGTGAGCCCGGTCTAGGCACACCTAGGGTTCGCCGTTTGATTTTAGGCAAAATTTAAAGGTAAAAATTTAACACTAATATAAAATAAGGAGATTAGCATACAGCCAAAAAATAACATAGAAATTTCTTTTCAAACAATTCCTTTTATACCCTAAAAAAATCTGGAAGATTTCTTTGAAAAATGAGGGTCTTAAAAATTAAACATGGCTAAAATATATGGACTGGTTTGTGTTGAGCTACCATCTACTATAAATAAAGAAGGTTCAGAGTAACTTATAGTAACTTATAAATTCTTTTTCATTCAATTTTTTTTTCTGTGCGTACAGAAAGATATTTTTAGGTGTGTCCAGACCGGACACACTGTGCCGCAAAGGGTTAAACTATTTAAAATTTTATTTTATAAAATTTGAGGAGAAAATCTAGCTAATACATGCTGCACATATGTGTAGTAATTATTGGTACTTACGGTATTAATGCAACTACCTTGATGTAATTTGGCGATATTTTACAGATGGTAAAAAAATAATGACCTAAGAGATGATTCTAGGCAACAGAAAGATCAGCACAGGGTCTGCAATTTTGCTAAAGTGTCATTCACGGCACTTGGATAATTGCACCTCTAGTACATAGGCCGTTCGCACATTTTTTAGACATACTGCATTGCTGTAAAATATAGCCTGCATGTAAAAAATTCTTTTAATAGCAACTATATTTTTGAAAGTGTAAACTATCGTCTGCTACGGGACGATTTTGTTTTCATGCAAAATTGCGTTTTAAAGAAGCAGTGGACGGAAGGCTATGTTTGTGCTCTTTCCAAAGAAAATGATTCGCGTTTAGTTCTTAAAAAATGCTGTGTAAGCCACGACTTTTCGGTATTTAAAGCAACAACAGGTAATATTATCAATAAAAAAGAAAAATACGTCAAAATTGATCTAAATTTAAATCATCTAATTGGATCCGGCTTATTATTTTTTGCAGACTGTTAGAGCAATTTTATAAAAAGTAAGCTTGAACTTTCGAATTATGGTCAAAGAGTTTCCGTTCTGGAGCTGCCAAAGATCTACAAAGCAAAAAAAACATGTTCGATGTCCATCAACAAAAAGTGGAATGCTGCAAAAAATGGATAAGGCATAAATTGAGAGAATTAGTGAAACAAAAAATTTCGATTGAAATTTAGTCGGATTCTCTGCACAGATTACAGACTTGACACGAACTTTGTAACTGAACAAAAATTATGTTTTTATGAATTAAAATAAAGTCTTAGCACAAAACAAGCAACTTAAACAACTTACATTGAAAGAAACGTTTAATAAATAAACAATAAATATTTATTTTTTTTTTTTTTTTGTAATTTGATACCCTTTAGATCAGAATTGCTGTTTATTATCATAATATTTTTAATTTTATAATTTCTGCATGCCATCTTTGTACTGCATATGATGTTTCTTTAATAAATTGCTAACAAAATTGTATTAAATAAAATAATGCAGTTTTACAGCTTATTTAATTAAATACTGTAATAAATACAGACTTATATAAATTTCTTTCTACTATATGCATATATTAAATAATTCATTATAGTATCTAGATAGTGAAGGAATTTCCGTTTACCTTAGCCAATTTTTTTACGTGCTTGCTACTGCATTTGACAACAAGTTGCGCTCTCATAGCCCAAATTATGCCAATGCTGTTTTTTCTTGCCAAGAAGTACCAGTCCGCTTCTTTGTTGGCAATAAGTTACAGCAAACTTCATCTAGAATTTCATAAATGAAAGAGAATAAAACTCAGAAGAATTTCTCTTAGTGCTCTAGTGTAGAATTAGATGCCCTTTCGATTAGCGACAAATTTTGTTCAATTTTGGTGATGAAACTCCGTTTCTGGTTACCTTAATAGTTTTAACTTCACTTTTACCTTTCTTGGGTTTGAACTATTGTCGCCATTGTTGTTGCCATTTACCGGGTTCTCTGCGGAATTTTTCCTTTTTCCTTTGCTACAAAAATGCCTCCAATGTGCAAACAGAATTTTCAGCTTGGTGTTGTACTTTTTGATTTTAGTCTGGGGTAGAATGGAACTGATCTGTATTAAACACCTCATTTGTCATAAGAAAAGTTTTTTTTTTGCCTTACCTAAAATCAGATAAATAAATAGAGTTGGGATGGAAATTGTTTGCAGCTAAATGTTAAAAAGTGTTGCTGATAGTTTTTCTTTGAATTATATTTATTGTACAAGCATACATTTTAAAAGAGACCACCTCTTATTTATTATCTAAATTCCATTTTCTTGCTAGATATTCGCATGCCTCTCATTTGGAAAGACAGCGATCATTTTAAAAACAGAGGTGATTATCGAAGATTTGCTGTTTTCTGTCTCCTAAAAGTGGGCACAGATGTATTTGATACTGCCATGATCAACAATGTTGACAGAAGTATGACAGATATTGCATTTGAGGATGTTATTGTATTGTAAGTGTAACATTTTGTTTTATGTTTAAATTGTAAAAATGAATAAAGATTTTGGATAAATGTATTAATTGTATCAACTTCATATTAAGTGATTTAGTTTATATCATTTGACTGAATGTGGATGATGAAAATTTTAACAGAATTGCTGGGTATTAAGTTAGCATCAAAACATGTGTGATGTATTTTTCAGTGTGAAAACTGTTATATCTGAGAGTAGAGCTTTATTCTGTAATTTCTTATAGATATGCATGATTTTTTTTTTTTTTTTTGTAAATTTCAACCTAAGCATTTAGAACAAAATTTTCAAGTGAGTGTAATGACGTTAAATCTGCAAAATTTGGATTATTGTTGATGTTAATTTTGAAATTTCCTTCATTGTAATGATCATTGCAATTTTCAACAGACAGTGCAAAATTGCTTTTATCCCATTTATCAATTCTGAATTTAGAATACATCCCCAGTTTAATACAATTGTTTACCACAATCTAATATGTATTTCTTCAGTTTTAGTTACTTTATAAAATTAATTAAATAAGAAAACTGTTAACCAAAATGAGCATAATACACATTTGTATGTTGAATATAAAGTCACTATAACCATATTCACTGAACTGAGTAATTACCTCTTATTTTCAAATTTTTCCATACTTTATAATTTATTGTATGGTTTGGAGGTAATAGGTTTTATTCCTCCCTTCAGAATTCTTCAGATTTTCTTTGTGTTTATGGTTATTATTTTAAGTTACATTTGAGCATAATGCTTAAAACAGGAACCTAAAGCAGGGAGTGAACTTTTTTCTTTTCTTTTACTTTTTTCTTCTTCTTTGGTTTTTCTTCCTAACTGAATTCTTTCTATCTGCAATCTTGAAATTATTTTCTTAAGGAAGCACTTTTTTTCCTAATGCTTAGCCACTTAGATACTTACATATTATTGCAACCACCGTAGTAGAAGACATTAAAAATCTAGTGACGTTACGCATAACAGTTCTTTTGGTAACCATATCCATTGTAAGCTGCAATCTGAAAATTTACTGTATCCCTTTTATTTCTGTAAAAATCGTAAGGCCGCAGCAGAGTAATTGCACTAATATGTAATTGTTTTACAAGACTTAACCGATTCAAAATTACAGTATATATTTTAGCTAATATCGCGTATCATCTTTGTGTTCTGCTAGCCAATACTTTCACAATAGCAGCATCATTTTAGAAAGGCTTTATCACTGGATATTATCATAAACAGTGAAAGTCACGTAATATGGTGATGTGATGAAATTCTAATAAATGTGCTTACTCAAAATTCGCCAGAGCAACATCATATGTTATTATCTGTCCAAAATCTAATTTCCCTTCAATACTGGATTGCACTAGCATGAAAATTATTTCCAACATCTAGTTTACTTAAAGAACCACAAAGCATCAGTAATATGCCTGGATTTTCTGTTTGTAGGGAAAATTCTCTTCCATAATTTAATTATCCAAGGTATCCTACTCCAAGACTATTTTATTCTAGGTCTTGTTTGCTTCAAAATCCGGTCTGGAGAAATGTTCCAAGACCACTGAGATATCAGTAATTATAATTAACAAAAATCAGCATAATGCACGTTTGTATGTTGAATATAAAGTCACTATAACCATGTTGATATTCTGCTATAAATAATATGCTTAATGCTTAAAACATATTGTTGCAATTTTTCTTTTCTGACACCAGTTGTTGCGTTATTTTCTTCCTTCACGTTAATAGGGGGTTTGTAGATTTGGAGTGAATAACGACAGCACTTGATGGGGAATCGAAACACACTTTATTCAGTCAATAATAATCAGGACAGCTCCAGTAACACTTTTTACAGTCGTCGAAGATCTACTATAAACATGCTGACACGATCAGCAACACAGCCTCTAGGTTATCAGGCTATCATGGTGGAGATAGCTTCACGGCAAAGCACTAGAGTACGCTCGCGCACTCTGCTTGGTCGTTCTCGGAACTCCACGTACTCTCAGACTCCCACGCTACCACTCGCAATACCACTCGAAGACACCTCAGAAGCACAGCCCCTACCTCTTGGTTCATCGTTCCTGAGCTCAACAGACGTCTCTCTCCGTTCGACGTGTCACTAACCACCGATACACTAGCAGACTCCTCGGCGAACTCGACGACCCACTCAGCACTCGCTGCCCCCCCCCGGCTGTCAACTCGATCGACTTCCTCCGCAAGGGATTGACTCGTTATAGGGGACACCAACGTCGATATTAACTATCTCTCTCCGCAACTTTACGAGGCACCTCACTCGCCCTCGCGACGATGCACACACACTCACTGACTACTGCGACCAGCAGGGTTTATATAGCTTTCGGCTTGTGTTTGAGAACATTCTGGGCTAAACAGATACGAATTCGTTCCAGGAGGTTCTCCATCCGTCCATGGTATGTTGCCAAACGGACTATTTCTCGCCAAATGTGGCAACCCTGCCTTCCATTTGCCATTTTATGGCAACCCTAAAACTGCTTTATGGGGAAACTATCTCACCGCGCCTATACGTTTCGTAAAAATATAAATGTGTTTTAAGCATTAAGCATATTATTTATGTATTTGCATATTATTTAAACATATACATATATTTTAAGCATTAAGCATATTATTTATGTATTTAGCATATTATTTAAACATATAAATATATTTTAAGCATTATGGGGTATACCGCTTTAAATTATCATCAATCTCCATCCTATCAAAATCAAATTCCACCGAAAAAATGAGAGTATTTTAAGTTAAATCAGTTAAATGTTAAGATAGGGAGGGGAAAATATCTTCTCTGCTACTATTGATGCATGTAACCAATTTAATGTCATTTCTGAAAATATTTTAAGATTTATTGATAATTTTGAAACCATTGATAATAAACCCTCAACAAAATTATTGTCCTTATCTAGTGGTATTTCTGTCATTTAAATTAATTAAATTACCATATAAAGTTGAAAGAATAAATAGAAATGGGATATTTTATGTTCTAACTTTCATTTGAATTATTAGTACTATTCCGTTTTGAGGACCGTAAAAAAATTGCGAAGAAAACGTATGCGCAAAAGCACCAAATTTAGCAAACGCACCCATTTAAGAGGGCGCCAAATCTAGGATATGCGCTGATTTCAGATTGCGTAAGTTTATATAGTTCTATATTTCTTAAGATGCCATTGAAATACTAATCATTTTTAATCCTTTTTGATCCTATGATTTAAAGTTGGGATTGCCATGATGAAATCAGAATATGATTTAGGTAAGTGAAAATCACCCACTGCTTGATGTGTTTTTTAAGAATTGCCAACTCGGATCCATGTACACATCGACCTATTTTCCACTTAAAAAAATCCCAATTGCAAAAGGCACTTAACACCCTTGACTTTATCTATACACATCGACCTATTTCCTTAAAAGTAAAAAAATTGACAAAATCCATTGTTTTACCCTGTAAAAAGCGGCAACAAAGAAGTGGGGCGATCTGCACTTATGAGAATTTTTCAAAGAAAGCTCCTTCATTAGAAAATTTGTTTGACAACCACGAGTAAATTATGCTTTAGCGATAACTTGTAGCGAATAGCTCCATTCAGTTATGTTTAGCATTTTTATATAAATTATCATAATGATTGAAATTATTACTCTTATGCTTCATCAGTCATGTTAGCCTTTTTTTTATAAATTATAATATAAAAAATTATATTAAATCAACCTTTCATCTAAATTAAAACATAAATCTTAGATAGCTATTTACTATTATACATCCTTTCTTGCGTTAGGGTTGCCACAATTATTTTTGGCAGCGGGGCATCAACAATAGTTTGGTGATTTTTTACGGCTCTCAAAACCTAATAATACCGAATTATTTATCATTATTTTCATCTAGTCTTCCATTATTTAGACTGCTATTGAACTTATTGAACTGATTATGATGTGTATCAATTTGAGAGAAATATAAGTAAGGATGTATGTCTAAATAATTCTCTTCAGAATAATTTCTTATATTTATATGCAGACACTCAAAATGAAAAGGATTATGTTAATCATGCTACAAATGAGTATGAAAATTCCTGTGTAAATACCAAGTTGGAAGAATTATTAAATAATCATATATTTGCAAAAGTAAATATGATGTAGGTTGGATAATATTGAATCTCCAAAAGTAACTTCCGAACTTTCAATTGCTTATCGCCCATATAGAGCTTTCTATAAAGATAATGCTGAAATTAAAAAACAAATCATGCTTGAGTCATGGATGAGAAGACTGTTGCTTAGATGACGACTAGAGCAAAAATCACAACTGACTTGATGGTTAAAAAATAATTTTTATTTTTCACAGGAACAATTATTCAGAAATTCAGAAATATATCTTTGCTGAAAACTGGTACAACATTAGAGGTGCTAAATCTGTCCCACAATTTCGATATGCATAGTTTACATTTTAGACAACAGAAGAAGGGAAGTGAAGGGGGTGACATGGTTTATTCCAGAAGCAAGGAAAATCAGTGTGCACTCACTTTGGTCCTATTTATAGCCAAAGAGTCATTGCATTAATCCTGAGCAGTGATTAGGCTAAAGATGTTATAGTGCAGAGAAATTGCAGGGAAAGAGTGACATAGCTTGCAGCAGAATGATGCAGCAAATATGTAAAATATAAAATATGAAACAGAATTATTAAACTTAATTGGAATCAACTGGCAATAGATTTTCAAATTCAAATTTAATTAAACACATACCCTCATCAAAGGATATGCTTTGCTGCATCACTTTGTCACATGTTATGTCACTCCTTCCCTGCAATTTCTCTGTTCCATGATAGCTTTAGCCTAGTTGCTGTCCAGGATTAACAGAATGACTTTGATTTGTTTTTTGTCTTTCCCAGAACCACATCATCACATATACATACAAATAGTATGCATTTAAAGAGAGAGATTCCCTTTTCCCTTAGGCTGGTATCATGCACCCATTTGTTTGGGACAAACAATTGTTTCAAACCATTTTGTATTGAAAGAAATATGCATGGTTTTGTTGCAAGTTTGTTTGCTTTCAACAACCAATCAGCTTTTAGTATCAAATCCTAGACATCAACCATCATTTGTAATGGAGAACTAGTTTTCCCGCTACATGGTAACCCTGTAAGGATCTTAAGTTTTACTAACGTTTATTTTATTTTAAATCTTTACTATCACTTCTTATTTTCTACTTCCGGCCAGAATTATAAGCGTTAAAGTATTTATGCAAAGTTTGTCTGGCGAACGCCAAGTATTTAAGTTGTGGGCTTTTTGCCAAGCGAGAGAGAGGAAGCAGTTAGTCGAAGCAGGCCGCTTACCTTAGAAGTTTTACTCAGTTTGCTGGTTGCCTTCCAGGCCAGAGGTTTTAATCCTCTTGATAACTTTAAACGTATTGTAGTGTTCACAGTCTCTGTACTACATACGGCTTCCTGTTAATATAAGGCCAATCTTCCACGTTTATATTCAAGTTAAAGTTAGAGTTTAGTTTTATTTTTTATATTTTACGTTTAGACCACAAGTAGTGGGTCTTTGTATTCCGAAGTACGGAAGTTATTGTAAATAGAGAAAAATAAAGGGTTTTTTGTATACCCTTCTTGTGTATCCTGTCTACTTCCCACAGTTATTGAACATAGCTTTAGTAAGCTCTCTGTTCCGAGTCAGGTCATTGCATGTTCCCGAAGAAGGTAAGACGGAACATTGAACCTGATAACCCCAAAGTTATCAATGGTGATTGGATGTTTCATGTCATGTGAAAAATTGTTCTATAGAGCTATGTTTCCAAAATGCTTTGAATGTGTGATACAATCTTAAGAAGTTGTTATTCTATTTATTATTTCTCTTACTTTGTTCTTAATAAAATTAACATATTTAGACCTTTTTGTTTATTGATCAATTTGAGGATTTTTAATTTTAGTAAATTTTAATTTAATGCATCTATAAATGTGCATAAACTGTGAAAAATTTAGCATTTGTTTATATTTTTATTTACTTATTTATTTTTTAGTAACAATGTTCCTCATGACTTTGAGTTTCGTCTTGAGGTCTACAGTCATGTCTTGCAAGAAGACTTAACTATTGCTAGTGCTTCTAACAAACTTAAGAAGAAGATCTCTTATTCAGTTAGCAAAGCAATAGGAAAACGATTATCAGATAACTTTGTAAGCATTGTAATTGCTATTTGTAAATCATTCTGCACATTTGTCTTTATTTGATTTAATTGATTAATTAATTTACTTACTTTGTATTTCATTTCACTGTTAATTTATTTCTTTTTACTGTGGTATTTAATCTATATAATCCTTCCCCCCCACCCCAATGTGTAAAATTTTTTTGTGGTAATTTTTTTATTTTTATATAACAGTGTTTTATATCCATTTTTAAATTATCATTATTTTAAAACAACCAACTAATTATCAGACTTAATATATAGTATATAAAAAATTTCATACTCATTATTTGTCACTTTAATGAGTTGTGAATTCATATAACTGAGCATTATATGTAGAAGCTTGTAACTTATTCCTGCAGTTTTCCATTTTTAAGTTAAACTTGCATTTATCATACTTCAATGTTTAATCTTTAACTTTTCTCTGATTTTGGAAGTGGATTTCTTGTGTGGCAGGTCTAAAATATTATTCAGACAGAGCCCACTCCTACTTTCTCCCAAACACTATTCCTTACAATGAGTTGTAAGAAAAATCCTCGTTTTGCATATTCAGGAATTTTTTTGCTGCAATGGCCACACTTTATAATGTGCTTTTTTGGTTGAAAAGAGATTGTAATAACAAGTATTCTTGACATAATACTCGTTATAATAAACTAATAAAACAATTATAAAAATATTTATTCCTCGATGTTAATTATTTATCCTAGCAAATAAATTTTACGACCATTAAAATAATTAACATTTTTTATCTGTCAAGAACTTTGATAATTCTTTTTTACTTAAATCTATTTAAATATGGTGTTGAAATTACTCTGTATCACAAAATTTCCTTAATCAATTATATGGTAACTGGAAAAAACTGCACAAAAGTAACTAATCAGCTATTCTAGTAATTCCAAAAAAAAGGGAACCTGGGAGAAGGAGAAATTAATAATTTTTAAATTAAAAAAAAGATTTAAAATGCTTTATTTATTTTTATTCTTATTTGGTGTTATGCTGAGAACAAAGTAAATAATTAATTAGCTAAGCAAACTTAAAAAATAATAACAGGTATATAGCCAACAGTGTTCCCAACAGCATAATTAATTTTTATCCTAAACTAACTCTTTTTCTTTTGTGGGAAAACATTTGACATGCGATAATAATGTAAAAACATTTCTTTGATCTGCTTACTGGGACTCTAATGAGTTACAGAGGGTGCCTGATGACCTGTCCCTTTGTTTTTACAGCCCTTGTCGAACAACTTGGAAACTGTTTTTGCAATAAGCCTGATTGTCACTTGTGGAGAATCGTTAATGGTCTTCATCATTAATGACTTGAAAGCATTCAGGTGGGTCACAGGGAAGCGGAATAACAATATGCAGCTTGTTTTGTATTTGAATCTGCTTTCAACTAACATTTTTGGAATGAAGGCTAAAGTTAAGAGCCAAAACAGTTGAAGCTTAGGGGACCTTCTGTTGCCCTTATCTATATAATTACACAACAGTTTGCTTTGGCTTCTGTAGAAAATTCATATACATTATTTATGGAAGCAAGAATGTCAGTCTCTTTCTATTTTCTTTCTAAATTTAAAATGTAAATGTGTTCAACAGAACATCTAAGGGCTCTCCAAGGCCTTGGGCCTCTATGAAGCTGCATTTCTTGTATACCCCTATTTGTGCAACTGATTAAGACACTGAAATGAAGTTCATGAATATATAAACTCGAAGAGAATAGGCATATGATACCTAGGTTTGCCCAAAGACAACGTTGTTACTTATATTTTACATTAATATCCAAAAATATGGTACTTTTCCATTTTGCCAGCACAAATCTCGCTAAGCAGACTTTATAGGTGATCACATACAGTATACACGTAAAAAATTTAACAAATGTTAGTTCTAAGAATTTTTTATTTTGAAGGACAAAACATTTTAATATCATTTAAAATTTTGTAAAAAGCCAATAAATAAAGACAATAAATTATTAAAAAGATATATTTTTTTTTGGGGGGGGGGTTTTTTTTTTTTTTTTTTTTTTTTTTTTTTTTTTTATTAATTTAAAACTTGCTATGCTTCATGGTTCAAAATCTTGATTCACCGGTTCATATCACTTTACCCCAAGTTGCTCTCACGTAAACTATGCTTAGAAAATCTCTCGTAATTATCTACATTTAATTGTCCAGCTAAATCTATTTGAATGCAATTAAATGCAAGAATTATTTCAATTCATACGAATAGCTTACTCAAATTATTGTAAAACCCGCAGTGCTTTAACTTTTGCTAGTGCATCCTCACTAGAATTGAGATTTAAAACCTTGCTTGCCTGTTCTATATTTTTGCCTTTGGGTAATGGTGTTATTGCATCCAATTGACTTAATTTACCTGCAAAGGCTTTAGGGCACAAAATGAACTATCTGGTAAATTCTAATTTAATTGTATGCCAGTAAATTGAAGAAGGCAATCAATCCGATAGAATGGCTGCTCTGGTTAGAAAATGGCATAAAGTACCAGCAAGGAAGATTCCATTTGGTACCATTTTGTATCACCATTATTGTCGACTGCCTTCCAAATTAAGATTTTACTTGAAATTAAATGTAGATATTACTGAGAGATTTTTGTAGCATAGTTTTACGTGAGATCACTTGGGTCACGTGATATGCACCGGTGAATCAGATGTTGACCCATGAAAGCTAGCAAGTTCTTAATTAATACTTTTTTCAAATTTTATTGGCTTGTTTTTAACAAATTTTTAAATGCATACTTAAAAATGTTTGTTGTCCTTCAAAATAAAAAATTCTTAGAACTAACATTTGTTAAAATAAATTTATCGCCTGTGCTGGCAAAACGGAAAAATACCAAAAATATTTCTGCCTTCCTAATAGACATAAAGTAATTTAAAATTTGAAACATTACATATTAATAAATAAAAAATATCTATTTGTGTAATGTAGTAAATTTAAATACAATAAAAGCCCTATTAACTGGAAAGCTTACATAAAAAGAATTATTTTTTATTCTTAGACTTTTTTTACATAAATTTAAGCAAATAAGAAACCTATAACTCTGGTATTTAAAAAAAAAAAAAAAAAAGAAGAAAAGAAAACAGTTCAAATCAAATCTAAAGGCTGCTAAACAGTGTGATTTAATGGCAATAATCAATAAGCATGATGTAATGCTTTGTTTTTACTTAAACCCAATTAATTCTTGATAAGTTGGCTTAATTTTTATAAAACACTCTTAAACTGCTATTTATCTGCTTTTCAATCGCTTTTTGAAGAAATGATTAAATTTTGGGATTTGTCTTCAACAGAATAGCATGTAGTAGAGTGGTATCAAGAAAAATATAGTTTATGTAAAATGGTTAAACACCGGCTGTACAGTGTGAAACATTATGACAAGTGATTTAAGGTTTATATAAGAGGGTTGTATATATTGATTACCTAACTAAATAAAGAGCGATCTGTTCCTTCAAGCTTCTGCCAGAATGACTGGCACAAGTTTGGCAAGAGCTCTCCCAGTTTTTGTGGTCGATGGAATTTTGAGATTGACTCTTTTACTTTATTGTGTATGTCTGAAATGCCATTTTTTCTTTCAGAATCTTGCATATAAGCATTTGATGTTCAAGTTGATAACAAATAAAATGTTTGTTTTCATAATTATAGACAAATTTTTCTTTCCCCCTCTTTTCTCCCCCTTCCATTCATTTGGCTTGTTTACCATGAACTAAATTTTTTAAATGCTCAGTTATCTGGAATTTTTGCATATCTGTAATTTGGCATTTGAGTTTTCTGAATAGTTGAGCTTTTACTGTAAATTTCAGTGTTTATATATATATATATTTGGGATTTTAATAAAAAAATTTGTAATTTTGCAGAAGGAAGATGAAACTTTCAAGAATGGGTAAGTAAAAAATTCATGGATTTGCATATGTTGTACTTATTTTTAAGTGTATTTAATATAATTTATTGTATTTGTTTATACCCTTCTGCTTTTTTTATTCATAAATTGAACAAATTTAAAATGGGATAAAATAAATAGAAACTCATTAAATGAATGAAGTGGGTAATCATATTTATTTTTCTTAGTCTTTCATCCCATCTCTGCAGGGCAGATTTTGATGGGTTTTAATAAATTTTTTAATGTGGTTCCATTAATCAATGATGGTCTGTAAATAGGCATTGAGGGATTCTGAGACTGAGAATTTTTTTATTATCTATAATATATGCCTGGACAGGATCATGGGCTTGGAAATTAATAATGAACATGCCATAAAAATTATCTTAAAAAAATAGAATGTCAGAAGCAAACAAAAGGCAATTGTAGAGGAAATGTCTCCAGAAAAAGTAAAAAGAAGGGAAAATTATCTTACTTCTCTAATACACAAAATTTGTGCAAAGTGGGATAAAGCTTCATGAAAGATTATCACTCTTCTAAAGCAGTAGCAAACTAGAACATAAGCATTTCCAATAATAAAACCATGTCTTTTTTTGAAAAATTTAAAGTTAGGCAACCAAAATCCCACTTGACAGGTTTAAAAGGAAACAGGGGTAAAGTGAGTCTCAAGCAGTGGTTAATTGGCACTTAAAGGGAAGGAAGAAACAAAAGTGATGTCCCAGAATGAAGTTTCATGATATTTTAGGAAAAGGGCTCGTTATACCAACAATAACATCTCTTCCATTTATCTTCCTTATCACTTTCTACTTTTGTTATCCACTGTCCTTTATACAAGTTCCTGTTCCTTATCATTTTCTACTTATGTTGTCCATTCTTTCACTCATACAGGCAGAGACAGACAAGGGTGAGGCATTTTCTTCAGATGACAAGGTTGGTTTATGTGATTAAGGCAAAACCTTCAGGGCTATCTGCCTAAAGGGTAAAGGGAGGCATGCCTTCAGGGAGCACTTTCTAAGGGAAACTGGTTTGTATACACATTACATGTTCCCCTACATTACACATGGGAAAAACCACAAAAACAGCCCTGCAGCCAGCCTGTTCATGGGATTCAAATCTCAGACCAAACTACCAGTGTTCAGTGGCTGTACCGCTCGGCCGCTGGAGGGCCAATCAGGTAGGAGAGGGTCCATATTAATTAAAGAGAATCCTAAATACCTTTTTAAAAAAATGATGACTTAACTTTCAACACATCAAAAAACACAGTTTTAAAATGTTAAGTAATAAAACACATTATATTCTGGACAATTTGTTTTATTTTCTTGCTATACAACTTGTTATTTGTTTCCCAGTGATCATTTTTCTAAATCATCTGCTCAGACTGATGCCTCCCAGTATAAATTTTATTTGCCATTATCCCAGTATCATTTAGTCGAAACAACAAACACGAATGTGCTTAAATATGTATGAACTGATTTGCATAATTACTTTCTCATATGAGTATCTTATGTGGTTGCATAAGTCTGGAAGTGAAAGATATTGGATATCATTTAAAATATGACATTTCTGAATAAAACTATGTTAATTTCGAGGGGATCGGACATGGGTCTCTTTTCTTGGGGGGGGGAATTCCAATTTTGATTTATCGTGCATCAGTTTCTTGCTCACCTTTTTCAAAGAAAGTTTTCAGTTGGACTATTTACTTTTAATAATTCAACTCTTTGTCCTGTTTTTGCTGTATATACGTTTTTAATTTGCTTTCAGACTTATGCAGTTAGTTACACTTATGGTTATTGTGGAAATTTGCAATCATTGCTGGTTAAAATTGCGTTCAAGTTTCATTTCTTCTAAAGTTAGTATAATGGCTCTCAACCTTTTTGTCTAGTGCACCGCTTTCACTGTTGCTAGATACCATCCCTATCCCCCTCTTTTCCTAATAAAATACATATTTATTTAAATTATTTTTAATGCATTTCAGAAACAAAACAAGTAAAAGTATGGAAAATATTGATAAATACGAAAACTTGAGTAAAAGTAGTTTTTATTCATAAACTGAAACTAAATACCTAGCAGGTAACTAAAAGGCTGATTGCATTTCCCTTCGTCCGGTTGAGTACATTACTTTATCAGGAGTGTAGCTAGGGAGAAGCAAGGGGAATATCTGTCCCCAGGTGAAGCTACCAGGGGGTGCCAAACTGATGATCAGAAATTTTAGAATGAAATGTTTTCCATTCATGATTGGAGAGGGGTGCAAAATCTTAAATTATCCCCGGGTGCTGTAAGTTCCAGCTAGAGCTCTGTACTTTATTGATTTTAAGATGCAGATGATAACTCTTGAATTCATGAATAAAGAAAAAATAAATTACACTTCACCAGAATGGCAGCAGAAGAAGATATTCCATTGACATTTTATAGAATTTAAGTAGTTAAATTTTAAGATGAAACCAATGATATTTTTGTACTTGTTAAAATTTAAAATAAATCTGCTTTAAGAGAATGTCAGAAATAGTAAGTTCTTTTGCAGAACCACTAGAAATTTTATTTGAATGGTGGGCAAAAATGTTTAAGCATGAAAAAAAAAAAAAAAAAAAAAAATTAACTGCTAACATACATAAGATGGAATAAATTAAGACATAGTTCCTCCTCTTCTGTATTGTTATGTTGTTTATGAAAAGCAATAAAATAAAATATTCAGTGTCAAAGAAATGGAAAACAAATTTTGAAATTTACCGTGAAGATTTAGGATAAATGTCCTCACTAATTAAAAGCTAAGCCACAGTAAAAGAGCCTATTTTAAAATGGACAGTTCAGTTTCACTAAGGTAACAGATATAAAAGAACAAACATATTTAAAAATTTAATTGAATTGATATTAGGTAAATTGAGATAAAAGAAAGTGTTTAAAAAGAAATCTGATTGATTTTGCTCAAGAAATTAAAAAAATTACGAAATCAGGAAGATAGTTACTTGTAGAAACAGAAATAAGACTGATATATTTGTGTACTATTGCAACAGACTTTTTTCCTTAAAAAAGTTATCACGAGCTACAAATCAAATTCACAAAATTTAATATATTTAAGCAACATGGGGAGACTGATACTGCATTTATAAGTGAGAAATGAAATACGAGACAAAATTAAATCATATTAATAATAAAACCTTGTTTAAAATCGTTACCAGGCATCTTAGATTGATTAAAAAATTTCTTTGGAATTGACTCCTTATGAATACTGGATGAGTAAAAAAGCTTTTAAATTAATGCTAAAATATTCGAATGATATTAAGTGCTGCCAAAATTTCATCAGAAATTTATAATTTTAAAAACCATAATTCTAGATAATAAAGCAGTTATAAGGTCTTTTTAAATATACTTCACCTATACGATTTAGTTCACTCGCACATAAATTTGGCTAAGTTAAAGATTAAAGCAAACAACTGAAGGGCTATCTGCTTATACAAAAGAATGCCTTTGTGGAGGACTTTAAGAGAAACTGGCTGATATCCATGTTACATGTGGCGAAAACCATGCAGCCAGTCTGTTTGCTGGGATTCGAATTTGGGCCAGAATACCATGTTTAGCTAATTTACTGCTTGCCGGCTGGTGTGCACTCACACACAAACTTGAAAATGTGTCTATTCATAATAATGCTTTTAATGTTGCCAGTTATTAATTTCAGATAGGAAAGAAACTCCAGTAAATTTAAAATAATACCATATTTACGCGAATCTAATGTGCATCGTTTTTGGCCAAATGTAGTACTCAAAGGGTGCTAGTAATTCGGGCGCATTAGATTCGAGTGCAAAGTTCCTGATGACGTCACAGTTCGCCGATGACGTCAACCGATTAATCGTAACAATGGCTTACTGTTTCTAGACTACATTTACCGTTGCATTATCGTGACACATATTTATAGAGGATACACTGCAGAGTATGTAGTCACGAGAGGGAGACAAGCTGAGAAGAATGTCATATGACGCTACTTTCAAACGTAAAGTAATTCTTATCCTGAAAGAATGGAATAGAAAGGCGGGAGAGAGTTAAATGTAGCTGAGAGCAATGTTCGCTGTGGCGGCAACAGAACTGGCACGTGCAACTAAAACTAGTAGAAAGAAATTCACTGGCCTCGCAAAGGGAAACCCTAAAATGGAAGAAAAAGTTTTGGAATTTGTACGTGAAAGGAGGAAGAATGGACAACCTGTGATAGCGACACTATAAGAAATAAAGCAAAAGGAGGCTGAAGTTCTTGGATACCAAACAAGTTTAAAGCTGCCATCGATGGGTGATCGGTTTCTGAAGTGAATGCTTATTTCTAAGACGCTGTACAAAATCCAAAAGCTTCCTGCAGTTTGGGGAAAACTACTAACTTTTAGCGGTATGTCATCAACACTTTGGAAGGAAAAGAATTTTTCAATGGACAAATGGCAACCTGACGAACGCCAATTTGGTTTGATAGCCTCGTAACTACACCACGGAGAAGGGGACAAAAAAGTTATCATCCAAATAGTGAATAAAGACGTTACTATTAATCACTGATTATAGAAACTGTTACTAGATAATGTTACCATTTATTTCATGTTCATACTACGATATGTCCGTATAAGGTAGTGGTAATTAACAATGTTGTTCACATAACATAGCCCACTATGGTTAATTCTATAATCTGTTACTTTATGTATAATCCATTGTGTATAAATATGGTATCTAATTTAAATAAAATTATCATACCATGATTGATAGTTTATATACAAATCCATTGTTGTATAAAATAAGATTCAATAATTCCTCATACCTTATGCGCATTACATCGCCGACAACAATTTTTTTATTATTTAAAGTTTTAAAATGGGGATGCGCATTAGATTCGCATAAATACGGTATATAATTATATAAGATCACCACTTGGACGAGGAAAACTGTCATGCATGGAAATTCAATCACTAAAAAATGAATTAAGTAATTTTTGAAAATTTGTTGATTTTATTTTGATAAATGAAAAATTAAACTATAAAACAAATCTTAAAAACTAGTACAGTAACTCTGTAAATTATAATTTCATAACAATTTATAATTTTCAAAATTATTTATTTTAGCTGTACTATCAAAAATGTACTTTCTAAGCTTTTTTCAAATTAAAACTATCTCCATTTTTGGATTTAAGGAATTATAATTAAAAATTACAGAAGTTAAGGTGGTGTGAGTCAAAATATTTATTGAATACAAAATGATCAGATATAGTTGATTTGCTTTTTGTAAGGGAGCATGAATTTACCCTCTTGCCTCTGGGAGGGGAAAAAAAAAAACTTAGGCACAGCTGTGCATACAAATATGGTGAGCTTTAAACTAAATCTTTGCTTATCAGTTTTATGTGTTTAACATTGCATGTATCTGCCCCCTCCTAGATTTAAAGATTTTCATTGTTGTTATGTTATAACCTTGTGCACAAGACCCACCAGTGGCCGAGTGGTAAAGTTTCTGAACACTGGTAGTTCAATCCGTGATTAAAAGTCCACGAAGGTATTCCTTTCTTCTGTGTATTGCCTTAGGGCAGAACACATTAATAGTAATAATAATGATCTTGTGCACAAGGTTCTGTGAAAATTTAAATTGGCATTCATCTGTGATCCAGGAATGGATTTGTCCATTTTATATTAATCTCCTGTGTGTGGGGGGGAGAATAGTTCTGGTTATTAAACATTTCAGTTAATAAATAGCCTTCTGGAATTAATTATATTCATGAACTGAGTTTTCACTATATTTAATGAAGAGATAAAAGAGCATTTTAAATGAATCATTTTCGGTCTTTTCCATTCATAGCATTATTGCTATTGTAATCTAAAATGAGTTATACAACTGAATAATCAGTGAGCTGAATCTTGGGGGGGGGACTAAGTAATCAAAATTTTATTTAGCAAGAGAAGTTAACTGATTTTGAATTTTGTATTCAGTTTAATATATTCAGTAGAATTTGAACCATTCAAATTTTGATAATATTCAAATTATCAAAATTTGAAGAGTCTAAATTCTACTGAAGAATTCTACAGAAATTCTTCAGTAAAATTCCAAATTCTACAGAAGTTAAGGTGCTTTGAGTCAAAATATTTATTGAATGCAAAATGTTCAAGTATCGTTGATTTGCTCTTTGTAAAGAACCATGAATTTACTCTCTTGCCTCTGGTAAAAAATGCTCAGGTACAGCTCTGCATACAAGGAATAAGGAAAGAAATTCTTTAATAATTTTTATATAGGTCATTTTATGAAAATTATTAAAGAATTTCTTTCCTTATTTTACAGATTTTTTTAAAGTCCATTTAGAATATTCTCAGTTTTTCAATTTTTGATGAATTTCTTGTACTCATTTGTTGAAGAGGAAGGTTTGAATCAGTGTTTTCAAATGCATATTATTTGCACATTCTCCAGTGTTGAATATAATATGCAATATTATATTCAAATTAAGGAGTCAAAAGTTAATGAATGAGTAACTTTTTATCAAAACTTAAGACTTTTATTAACTTGCTTAGAATCTGTAAAGATAGTTAACTATATATGAACTTCTGTACACCATTCATAGATTTCTGTATACCATTTGTATGTTGTGTCAAATATACTGTGATTTATCACATAATTCTTTAACTCTCAAAATATTCTGGGGCAATTTCCTTGAAAATTATGTATGAAAAAGGACATAAAAGATTTAGTTATTTTTATAATTTTAATTAGCTGATACAGTAAATTGTATGATATTAATATCAATTTCTCTTTTTTAGGTATTCTGAGTTTGATGTAGTTGCTCATGCCAAATTGAATTTAGCTGATGCTAATTCTCGTATTAAAACATACGATTTAATCATGGAGACGTCAGAGAAAAGTAGCCATCAGCTACCTCTCTTTGGTCATTTTTGCTGTCGATTAGCTGTGCAGCCAGCTTGTATGACAGATGAAATGCACTCAGGTTATTTAAGTCTAGTCCAGGTGAATATAGTTTGTAAAACCTAATTTTTAGAAATGAGGTATTTTTATCGGTATAATCTAAGAATATGTTATCTTTTCTCAAGATCTTTTATTTTATAAAAATGTCAGTATTTTATCAGTTTAAGAGATGGTTGAAATCAAATGTTGTAGAAGACAGATTTACATTAATCATTCTCACAGTTCATTCTGATTACAAATGTTGACGTATGCATTAAAAGAACACTTCTAAGCAATGCTTAATTTGAAGCAGTGTACATCAGAATGGAAGTTACATGGCAGTGGATAAGTTCATAAAACAGAGCCATTACTTATATCAGAGGTCTCAAACTAATTATATTAAAAGTTATTTATTTAATTATTTTAATATTAAAGTGTTATGATAATAACAATAAGATTTTTTATTAGAATGGATTATATTCTAATAAATCTTTCATCCACAAGTTGAAATACTTTTTTAAAATTTTAGTGGAGACACTATGTTAATGCAGTTTTTTTTTTTTTTTGTTATTTTTTAAAAACTTTTCTTTGTTGCTAATAACGATTGACTTTACTTTTTAATTTTTTATTATTAATAATTTTCATCGTTCATAATACTTTTTTTCATCCACTCAGTCAAAACCTTTTTTAACTGTAGTGAGACCTTGATGTTAAACCTTTTTCAAACATTAATAGATTTTTTTTTTTTTTTTTTTAAGTTTTTTCTTTGTTACCTAATAGAATTTAATTTTTTTTATATATTACTTATTTATTGGAAAAGTTCATTTGATATATGCCCAGTTTTGTAAAGACCGAGCAACTGAAATGTATTAATGACATACCTGTATAACACTGTTGCTTAGAAATAATTAGGAATTTTCATTTGATTTTAAATAAATGTAGTGGTAGCCCTTTTTAACTATATTATAAATATAAAATTCTGATGTTTTATGTGAAATATAAAACATTAGAATCAGTCCAGGTAAGTTATTTAATAATTTTTGGTCAGCAGTTGCCAAACGTTGAAAATTAACTAATCTTCTATTGCTGATATCTGTAATAAGAGTTTTTTATAGTTAGACTAATTATTTTAATTTGGAATATTCCTAAAATATATGATTCCTAAAATATACATAGTAGCTGCTAACGTAGGACTTGCACACATGGTGTTATAGATCCACATAATTACTTTATTAAATAAAAATTTTAGTATTAAAGGATAAAAAAACCATTGTCATTCCTTTCTGTACCTCAAAAATAAAAATACTATCAACACTTAATTTATTTTAATAGAATATAACTCCTAAATAGCTGTAAGAAATATTCTGCTTTTCCAATCAGCATTTTATAATCTATCTATTAAAGAAGATTATAAATAGCTGGAAGAACCAGTTAAAAAAAAATTTTTGCTTCTAAAAAGAGATGTATTTGCTTATGAGTCATAGTAACCTTCTAAAAATATGAAACCATACATAGTCGACCCTAGAGCTGGTTCAATCACATCGGGCAGCTGAATTTACTGACAGCAAAAGTTTTAGATTTCAGGAGGCACTGGAGGAGATTTAAACAAAGACTGCCTTCACCTGGACTGCAGTGGCAAAAGACTGCCTTCACCAGACTGCAAAAGAGTTTCCTCTAATTTAACTATGCTGGAAGCCTTTATTACAAAAAATGCCAATGCATTTATCTGCTAATGATTCATCATTAATTATCTGTTAATAAACCAGCCCTTCCCATTTATAAGAACATAGAATAGAGTCGAAGTTTAATTTCATCTTAACCATCAGCAGCAACAATTGAAAAATGGGCATTTGCATATGAAAAAAAGTCTTGGCATATGAAAAAAAAGTTTTAAAAATTTTAAAGAAATACTTTTATATCAGGTCATCTCAAAAATAGTATATTTAGCATTTAGTTTTGAAGAGATATAAAAATTCTGTTTTGTTAACATAGTCATCTGTTCATTGTTTGAATCAGTAATGCTATTCCAGTTAGTGATTATGTTTTCTCAATTATTTTTCTTTTCTCTTCTGAATTTTTAATCGAAATTTCTGAATTTTTAATCGATTTTTAAATTTATAATTTAAAACAAATTAAATGTATTTTGTGTGATTCATGTTCTCTAGAATCGAACAATATCAAAAAATTTGTTTAGTTAAAACTATTTCTGTTGTAATATAGGAAAACCAAGTAAGATAGAAAAAAATCTTGCAAAATGAATGCAGAAGTTCTCTTTTCTTATTTTTTAATTATTAAATCTTTAAATAGTATATTGAAAACATAATGGCATTTTTTTTTAGTTGCTGATAATTTTTGTTTAAATAAATTTCTAATACACAAATAGTATTTCTGCTAAAAAAATCCTATTTTTAACATAAAATTTACAAAATATGTATAATTTTCACTCAGTATGGTGCACATGCAGGAGACTATGTGCTTTTATTTTGCATTGGTGTCAGTTCTGTGCATTGTAATTGTTTTTACTTTTTTCTTTCTATCTTATTTCTAAATTCGAAACCATGCATTATTTTAATTATTTGTTCGGCGTGTTATTGTGTCTTAATCATGCATTATGTATTACTGTTTCAATAATTTTCTTCAATTCTTTATCCTTACACCATCAAAAACAAAACTTCATGGTTATTAAATCTTAAAGTGGTTTAAACATTCTGCCATTTCAAAAGAATAATATGAAAATGCATAAGTTCTCTGAAATATCATTTCATTGCTCTCTGTTTTACAGTTTTGTAAGGTAAAGAGAGGGCAGAGCAGAAAAATTTCATTTTCACCTTATAGTAAAATTTTTGCTTTTTAGAGCAGTTACTCATTATATGTGTGTGTGTGTCACCTTAGTTTATGATGAATCTAGTTCAGAATCAATTACATCATGCATTTTGGACATTTAATATTATTATCTGAGATTTCAGTTCCTCACATTCAGCATTATATATATATATATATATATATATATATTATATATATATAAACCTGAATGTCGTTAATTCGAGTCAAAAGTCGTTAATTCGGACACCCATAATCCGGATGATCTATAATCCGGACTCAAAGCTAAATCTTTCTGCGCATGCGCCGCGTTGACGCATGCTCATAGGCGTTTACGCGTGCGCGCAAGACTTACGTCGGTGCAATGCGTCTGCGCAAGCGCAGAATACGTTTTCGCGTGCCGTTTAATGTAAAGGACGGTTATAAGCTAAATTATCTATTATCTATTTCGGTTAATTGATGGTGCGTTGTTCCTTAATCTTGAATTGGATCCGGCTTATTATTTTTTGCAGAGTGTAAGAGCATTTTATAAAAGTAAGCTTGAACTTTCGATTATGTCAAATAGATTTCCGATGCTGGAGCCCCAAAGGATCTAGAAACGAAAGTATCTTCGATGTCCATAACAAAAACGAATTGCAAAAAAAAATGGATAAAGGTATATCCTTTGTTTATCTAACCGTTCCGAAATCTGTTATCAATTTCACGCTGCTCTGCGCGGGGGGGGGGGATCGCGCGCGCATGAACTGAATTGATCTCACCACTATCGTTATCTCAGGGCAGGTTTTTATTTTATTCGGCTTATAATTCCTTACTAAATGTAAGTATTTAATCTCGATTACTCCGTCTTTGATATGATTTAAATCAAATTGCTCGTCATTATAAATATCACGAATCAAATCAAATAGTATTCTGGTTGCAATTTTCTAATTTCGGCTATCGTAAGGTACGCATGCGCGCGTTGAAAGAAATGTTTAATAAGTAAACAAATAAATATTAAGCTTCTTTTTTGAAATTTGATACCCTTAGATCATATTGCTCATTTTTATAAATTACGATTTCAATATTTTAATTTTATATTTCTGCATGCCATCTTACCAGATTTAAACTGATGATCTATAATCCGGAAAAATCGATAATCCGGAATAGCCGAAGTCCCGACGAGTCCGGATTAAAGACTTTTGACTGTATAATCATTTTTTATTCAGTATTATATGTATTATACTTATCATACTTCAATTTTGTTACCCTATGTTAAATAATTATTCTCATGTCAATAGGCTATAGTTTTTATTGCTTAAATATTAAAAATTTCAAATAATGATATGAAGGTGCAAGAGCAAGGAACTATGTACACTGGAAAGCTTATTTTCAATATTAATCCTCAGTTTTAATATAAGGCCTGACTATGGGTGTCTATTATCATCATGAGAAACAACATCCTTTTGATTAACAAGAGAATGCCTCTTTTTTTTTTCCAATGTTTGCACAGTCATGCCAAGAATTCAAGATATATATTACCATATGTATGCCTCTAATATCTAAAAAAAATCTCTTAAGGGATGATTTCTTATTTTGATGAGATTCATCTTTTTCTGCTGAAAGAATCAACCATTTATGACACTTACATCTATAAAGTATTCAGTTTTAATCATCAGTGATTGCACTTATTAAGAACATGAATTCAATTTGCAAATGCCCATTTTTCAATTGCTGCTGCTGATGGTTAAGATGAAATTAAACTTCGACTCTATTCTATGTTCTTGTAAATGGGAAGGGTTGGTTTATTAACAGATAATTAACGATGAATCATTAGCAGATAAATGCATTGGCATTTTTTGTAATAAAGGCTTCCAGCATAGTTAAATTAGAGGAAACTCTTTTGCAGTCTGGTGAAGGCAGTCTTTTGCCACTGCATCCAGGTGAGGCAGTCTTTGTTTAAATCTCCTCCAGTGCCTCCGAATCTAAACTTTTGCTGTCAGTAAATTCAGCGGCCCGATGTGATTGAACCAGCTCTAGGGTCGACTATGTATGGTTCATATTTTTAGAAGGTTACTATGACATAAGCAATAATCTCTTTTTAGAAGCAAAAATTTTTTTTTTAACTGGTTCTTCCAGCTTTTATAATCTTCTTTAATAGATAGATTATAAAATGCTGATTGGAAAAGCAGAATATTTCTACAGCTTTTAGGAGTTATATCTATTAAATAAATTAAGTGTTGATATGTTTTTATTTTTGAGGTACAAAAAGGAACAATGTTTTTTTTTTATCCTTTATACTAAAATTTTTATTTAATAAAAATTATGTGGCTGTATAACACCATGTGTGCAAGTCCTAGGTTAGCAGCTACTATGTACTTTTTTAATGTAAGGTAATGTTTTTATGATTATTGTATTTCATCCTTTCATTTTGCAACCACAAATCTTTGTGTATATTACATTATTCAATTAAAAATACTTATTATTTTTATTTTCTCTTATATTTTGAATAATGTATTCAAGCTGAATAATATTTCGTATTTTCCTTTTTCCTTTGCATAATAACTTGGAACAATTTTTTGTACTCTTTCTTTTGCTGGTACAATTATTTTCAGTCTATTTAATAAACAAATAGAAGTTTATTACACATTTTATTTGATAAAAATTATGTATAATATTCTTTCTTGCTTTATTTTTAAAGCAAATTGGAAATATAACGGGTTCCAGAAGAATGCTTTGTTCTTTGAAGAACTTTTCACTCTCTATGTGGTCCAATTTTGCAGATGTCCATAGTTCAAATCCTGATGTAGTCATACCAATCAAAACGGTAATTGTGAATTTTTATTATTTTTTGCCATTATTTGTATTTTCCCCCCTTTATATTATACATTATACATGTAATACCGTTAAGTCCACTTTCAAAAATTGTCAAAATTCCAAAGCAGATATTAATAGCAGTTTTTAGACAGAAGAGAAATATGGACTTCATGTTTCTAATAATTTCAGTTGAAACTGTTTATTATGATGGTAACCAGGCTTAGGTACCTCTTTGTCAAAAACATTCTGCAGAATTATGGCCAAAGGGAGACTTGTGTTTGATAACCCCTCAAAATTCATAGAGTTTTGATTAAAATCTACACCAAACGTAAGATTGTTGTTTTGCCTAACTTTCAACTGAAATTTGTTTCATTGGATAACATCCTTATTGTTACAAGCAATGTATCCCTTGAAACAGTTGCAATTTATCCTGTTAGCTTTATAAAATGTTTGTTTGATAGAAGATGGAGATGAGTTTCCCCCAAGTTGAAGGAATTTTTATGATTGAGCATTACTTTCCAGGGCATTGTATGGAAGTTGTTGAAACATTTAAAAAGACTCTTTCATAATATTTGTCAGCCTAACAGCACCATGATTTTGAGAAATTGGAAGCATTATCCATAAGAAAGAAAGTGATTAGACATGTCTTCTGAGTTTAGATAAAATGAAAACAATTGGGAATGATATATTACAATCACTAACAAAGAGTGGGAGAAAGATGGCATCACTATCACATTTATGCATTGCGAAGTACTATTCAGTTATAAAAATTCTTTCTACCTGTGAAAAATCCATATTCACCTTGCACCAAGAAATGCTTTTTAACCACTTAACAATTTCATATTTTCCCCCAAGTTTGATTAAAAAAAGTCACATTTTTATTGTATTTTTTTGTTCATTTTACATCTATAAGTAGGAGAATGTTATTAAAATGTAATATTTTTAAGCATTTAGGACAATTGCTTTTTACTACATGTAAAATAATATTTTCTCTGGAATTCCGCAAAAAATATAAATGTTGAAACCTTACCAGTAAACATTCAAATATTTAGACAAAAATGATGTAAGCTTTGCTGCTAAAATACTGATGCTGCAGTAGTTCACATGAACCAAAATATGTACGAGGGTCACTCAAAAAGTTAGTTGCACTGTCTATGAAAACAAAACAGGAGGAAAATTTTACAATAACTTTATTTATATCTTAAATTTCCATTCAAAATCTACTTTTCAACATAATTACCTCCATTATTTAAGCATTTGTCAAGGTGTGGTACAAGTTTTTCGATGCCTTCTACAAAGAAATACTGTCCAATGTCTGATAACCATTCTTGGGCTGCAGCTTGCACTTCGGCATCCGAATGGTACCGTCGCTTTGAAAGTTCTTGTTTCATGGGACCAAACACATGGAAGTCAGGAGGTGAAAGGTCTGGGCTATAAGGAAGGTGATTCCACACTTCCCACCTAAACTTTTTCAGAAGGTCACACGTTTGTTTTGCTGCATGCGGTCTTGCTCTGTCATGCAGAAGCACAATGCCTTTCGACAGTTTACCTGGCCTTCGATTTTTAAGCGATTGTTGCAATCGTTTTAGTGTTTCACAATAAAAAATTTCATTAATTGCGGCACCCTTCGGCATGAACTCAGTATGCACCACGCCGTTCTCTGTCGAAAAACAGCGTCATCATCACCTTTTCTGCAGATAGAACAGTTGGACACTTTGTTCGTGTCAGGGAACTGCAATGTTTCCACTCGAACAAGCTACGTTTCGTTTCAGATGAGAAGTGGTGAATCAAAGTTTCATCTCCAGTCACAATTTTGTCCAAAAACTCATTTCCTTCCATTTGGTAACATTGCAGAAATGCAAATGCACTTTCAAAACGCTTTGCTTTATGTTCCTCCGTCAGTAGACATGGCACCCATCAAGCACAAACTTTATGAAATTTAAGGTGATTGGCAATAATTTTATGCACACTTCCATGAGAAATATCCAGTTCATTTGAGATTTCGTCTATCATTATGCGTCTGTTTGCAAGAAAGTATTCATTCACGCAAGTAGTGATTTCTGAATTTGTTGCATTTTTCTTGATTTCTGAAGTTGATGGTCTTCCCTCATGCTCAGCGTCGTCAATATCTGTACGTCCATTCTCAAACATGTTGCACCATTTCGCGATAGCTTGACGTGACATTGCATTTTCACCATACATTTCATGCAACTGCCCATAAATTTCAGTGCAGTTGCACCTTTTTGCCTACAAAAAAAAAAAAAAAAAAAAAAAAAAAAAAAAAAGAATCACTGCACACATTTCCAGTTTGGATGCTATTTGCTATTGTTGAGACATGTTTGCGACTGATTATCAGAAAAACTAAGCTTGCCTCGGGGAAGCCGCTACATCACGCGATAAAAGTACATGTCTGAAGTGTTGACACACAGTGTCATCCAAATAGTTTTAGACGGAACATATTTACACAGTAGTGCAACAAACTTTCTGACTGACCTAAGTATTTGCGTATATGCAGCCGAATTTACATTTTTACCAAGTTTTAAAAATCGGTTAATTTTAAAATGTGCAAAACCAAAATCATGTAAAACAAGTACTGTGTAAATCGAGGGATAGGTATATTTCTCTAAAGAGCATGTGTCCACTCTTCCAGCATAAGCGGTGACAGAGAGCATACCATTGAGTGATGATTCTTCATTTCTTTGGTTGAATATGTGTTTGAATGTGACAGCATTGATTTTTCTTTTACCTTTCGATGAACATATCTGTTATTGGCTTGGCTTTCAGAGAAACTTTGAACCAGAAGAAATAAAGAAGAATAATTCATATTGAGAGAACTGTAGTTCCATTTCCATTAATGTCCATTAATGTTTGAGCTTTTTGCCCCTTAATAACGCAGCTTTGACGGTTCTTGCTTAAAATGAGCAACAAGTAGGATACAAAATGAAAATATAATACATTAAATATTGAAGTGATAGAAAAATATTTACCGTAATTTCCGGAAGAAAGGCCGCATCAGCGTAAACGCCGCACTCGAGAAAAATGGTGGGAAAAAAATTAAAATTACACAGAAACGCCGCAATAGATCAAATTGTGCATGACATCGTCGTGGGCCGTATAGATGCAAAAACTCAACCTAAGTCCTGATATATGGCATACCAGTTAAGAAAAATGCATGAAATGAAACCATAACTCAAAAATAAATTAAAGGTAAGAAATGTATAGCTTCTATGCCGTTTAGAGACATTTTCAAAAATTTTCCGCTCCCTTCTTACTTAAAAACTATTCAACAAGTACTTGTACTCAAACTGATGGGATTTGTATTTGGCAGAATGCCAAGAAAAATCCATTCACGCTGAAGGGGAAATACGTCAGAGTTCGTTATTGCGAGGCAAGTGGAGTCGTGTCCGCCTTTGAAAAAAATTGCAGAAAAGTTAGGGGTGGAAAGAGGATGGGTCCTGGAAGATTCATCGAATGACAGAGCAGAGAGCCTATTCAAGTTGATGAGAATGTTGATTTGAAAGGGGGAAGAATGTTATTGTTCTGAGATCTCGTTTAGGGTGAATAAGGCACGTAGGTCCGTTCAAGGGAAAGAATGTAAACGAAATAACGTTCGCAAAAAGCAACTGAGTGGTCTTTTGTGTGGGAACAGCACCAGTCTATGCACAATGACAAGGCCATCCAAACTATGTACAATGACTCATTTTATTTTTAGTGCACCTAAACGCCGCATGGGTAGAAATGCCGCACCCGCTGAAAATTTAAGTTTTAAACACGTAAATGCCGCGGCATTTCTTTTGGAAATTACGGTAGATGATACAATTTTGAGATTTGTATCAGGTAACAAAATCTGTTGGCAAGGCTCTGCTTTATAGTGACAGCTGCAGTAGCTGAGGATGCAACAGGAGTACTTCCCTGGAGGTAAAAAAAAAATGAGAGAGAGTGTAAGATTATAATGAAGTTAAATATTAATGTAAAAGAATAAAATATTTAGGACTCAGTATTTTAAGATTTTCCATAAATGTTGGCTTTGCAGCTGACCATAACGTTCAAAATCGGAAAAAAATCTGCCAAATTCTTTTCGTGTGAAGATGCTATGTGTTATATTTTGAAACAACAATGAAAACTAAGCTATGCATTGTAACACATCTTATTTTTAAGAAAAGTTTAAAAAGGAACGAACATGTGCTTAACTGCATAAATTAGTCTTTTCCTAGAAACTTTAATTTGAAATGTGGTACCTAATAAAGTGAAATTCTCTCTTAAACATTTTAGGATTTTAATTCCATGAAAATGTATGTGTTAAAAAATTGACTTCAAGAAAGGATTTTTCCTAAGCAAATTGATAATCATAGTAATAAACTACCTATTTTTGCATAAAATGATTGAAAGTTTGAGTATTTTAATATCAATATAATTTAATTTTTGTAAAATTAAATATGTATAGGAATTTGTAATTTGTGTTTTACCAAAAGTATATGTTGTGAGTAAAACATGTTTTTTGGAAGCATATTAAACTTGAAAATAAAAAAAAAAAATGAGTTCAAAAACATGTCCTGTATTTTTGGGGACAAGGCTGTGGGCAGGCCAATGGAAACGTGATAACATACAATACAGTCAAAAGTCGTTAATTCGGACACCCATAATCCGGAATGATCTATAATTCGGACCTCAAAGCTAAAAACTTTCTGCGCATGCGCCACTTTGACGCATGCGCATAGGCGTTTAAGCGTGCGCGTAAGACCTTTGCAACTGCGCATTTGCGTGTGCACAAGCGCAGAATACGCTTTCGCTGCGCGTTTAATGTATAACGGACGGTATAAGCTAAAATTATTTAATTGTCTATTTCAGTTAATGTTGATGATTGCGTTGTTCCTTAATTTTCAAATTGGATCCGGCTTATTATTTTTTGCAGACTGTAAGAGCAATTTTATAAAAGTAAGCTTGAACTTTCGATTATGTCAAATAGAATTTCCGATGTTGGAGCTCCCAAAGGATCTACGAAAACGAAAGTATGTTTCGATGTCCATCGAACAAAAAATGGATAAAGGCATATCCTTTGTTTATCTAACCGTTCCGAAATCTGTTTATCAATTTCACGCTGCTCTGCGCGGGGAGGGGGAGAGGGAACGTGGCGGTGCACAATGAACTGGAAGTTGATCTGTCAACACTATTGTTATCTTCAGGGCAGATGATTTTATTTTATTCGGCTTATAATTCCTTATTAAATGTAGTATTTCATCTCGATGTACTTCGTCTTTGATATGATTTAAATCAAATTCCTCGTCATTATAAATATCACGAATACAAATCAAATAGTTTTCTGGTTGCAATTTTCTAATTTCGGCTATGCATAATGTATGCTTTACGCATGCGCGCATTGAAAGAAATGTTTAATAAAGTAAACAAATAAATATTAAGCTTTTTTTTTTTTTTTTTTTTTTTTTTTTGTAAATTTTGATACCCTTCAGATCATAATTGCTCATTATTTTATAAATTACGGTTTCATATTTTTAATTTTATAATTTCTGCATGCCATCTTACCAGATTTAAACTGATGATCTATAATCCGGAATTGCCGAAGTCCCGACGAGTCCGGATTAAAGACTTTTGACTGTACTGCATTACTAATGTTTTGCTGTGACTAAATGTTTAATAGTGCTGCCACCAGTAGATTTTATTTCTGATGACTAAAATGGCTCAATCACTTGCAGTTCTTCTATAGTATTTGTAAGGTGTGTTGCGAATATAACTAATGCTGTGGGAACATGTGAAGATCTGGTATAAATTACCAAGGCCCACTTTGACCTCCTCCCTTTTTTAAAAGAAAATCTAAAGCTCGACTCAAAAGCTAATTCTTTTTTATTCACAAAGTTTGAAATTTTTTAACATGTAAAAAAACTATTTTTGCAATATAAAATCTGTTTTTATAATTGTAATTACATAATGGAGAAAGTATTTCTCTTGACAATTAAAATTACATACCTATAATTACGCTCATAATACAGAATCATAATAAAACCCAACATATCCAAACTGGATAGCCATTTTGATTACCAAATTGTTAAATAATAGGTACAGATGGTCATGTATAAAGATGTTAGCACTGTTTTTCCATCTGGAATCATCCTGCTTAACATCTGCATATGCTCCTGCTGGCATTTAAGACAACATCTATGAACTCATCCTTTACTAATGATCCTTTCGAAATATGTATGTTACAGTCAAAAGTCTTTAATCCGGACTCGTCGGGACTTCGGCGATTCCAGATTATCGATTTTTCCGGATTATAGATCATCAGTTTAAATCTGGTAAGATGGCATGCAGAAATTATAAAATTAAAAATATGAAACCGTAATTTATGTAAGAGCAATTATGATCTAAAGGGTATCAAAATTTACAAAAAAAAAAAAAAAAAAAAAAAAAAAAAAAAAAGCTTAATATTTATTTGTTTACTTTATTAAACATTTCTTTCAACGCGCGCATGCGTAAAGCATACAATATGCATAGCCGAAATTAGAAAATTGCAACCAGAAAACTATTTGATTTGTATTCGTGATATTTATAATGACGAGGAATTTGATTTAAATCATATCAAAGACGAAGTACATCGAGATGAAATACTACATTTAATAAGGAATTATAAGCCGAATAAAATAAAAACATCTGCCCTGAAGATAATGATAGTGTTGACAGATCAATGTCCAGTTCATTGCGCACCGCCACGTTCCCACCACCTCCCCCCCCATGCAGAGCAGCGTGAAATTGATAAAGAGATTTCAGAACGGTTAGATAAACAAAGGATATGCCTTTATCCATTTTTTGGAGCAATTCCACTTTTTCTTTGATGGACATCGAAACATTCTTTCGTTTTCGTAGATCCTTTGGGAGCTCCAACATCGGAATTCTATTTGACATAATCGAAAGTTCAAGCTTACTTTTATAAAATTGCTCTTACAGTCTGCAAAAAATAATAAGCCGGATCCAATTTGAAAATTAAGGAACAACGCAATCATCAACATTATCTGAAATAGACAATTAGATAATTTTAGCTTATACCGTCCGTTATACATTAAACGTGCAGCGAAAACGTATTCTGCGCTTGTGCACACGCACATGCCCAGTCGTAAAGGTCTTACGCGCACGCTTAAACGCCTATGCGCATGCGTCAAAGCGGCACATGCGCAGAAAGTTTTTAGCTTTGAGGTCCGGATTATAAATCATTCCGGATTATGGGTGTCCGAATTAACGACTTTTGACTGTACTGACAATGTATGCAATGTTGGTATTCTATAGGTACTAAGTTTGAGTACCTAGGGATTTAATAAAATGCCCTGACCTTTTTTTAGGCAAAGTATGAAATATGAGAATCATTAGAAACTTCACCTAGGCATTGTATATAATACCTAGGAATTCTATAGAATGACAAATGTTTCTTTAGGCAAAGTAGGAAAAAAAAATGCCATGGATGGGGCTATTATTTAAGACTTTCATTCCTCAAAAATACAAATGTTATTTTGACTGCCATTAAAACCTTTTATTCAAAATACGTAAATATAGTAAGATGATCTTGGTGCACCATAACATATTTGTATTCTTTATCTGACTGAGACTGGAAATCTATAAGATCTACCTAACTGAGACTGGAAATCTATAAGATCTACCTAATCTATAAGATGGTAATTAAATTCAGAAAAACCATTGGTTTCACAATAATGCCCTTTTTAATACCATTTTTTTTTTTTTTCTAGCAGGGCTTACAAAGTTAGATGCACAGTTCAATACCATTATGTGTTTTTGTATTTCATTGAAAGTTCTTTCAACATTCAGTCACATTCTCTGTGTTCAATAGCCAAATGAATTTCATGAATTATGTGAAATAATTCAGTGCCCGTAACCTAATACTGTAGAGTTCTGACGGCTGCTTTAACAGCATAAATGAGTTTACTTTTGTTTTCCACGAACATTGCATCATAGCGATTCAGCAACCAATAGTCCCATGGTTCTTTCTTAATAGTCCCCCTTTTTTCTTTTCTTTTCTTTTTTTTCCCCTCCCCCCCTTTTTTTGTGTGTGTGTGTGTGTGTGTGTGTGTGTGTGTAAGATCATATGTTAACTTCTGGTGAGCAGTTTGGTTATTCGAAAAGAATCAGAAATTTATTTCATACTTTGCCGTTTTGTCATTTGGTATTCTATAGAATGCCTAGGCAATGTGTGAAATGTGTAATCGTTTCATACATTGCTGGTTAATTCTCGGCATTCTATAAAATGCCCAGACATTCTATAGAATGCCATATTTAATACTTTGCAGTAGCATATGCAATTTAGGAGTTGCTAAATTGTTTGATTTCTAAATTTTATCATGTTATAATAGGTATGTTCATCGAATGCCTTTTAATTTAGTTTATTTCTTATCTTTTTATTTGAGACAGTATAAGTGTAATATTTATTTTTAATGATATACTATTAAAAACTTCTTTAAAATTTTTTTATAATTTTTTATAAAAAATAAAATTAAAATTAAAAAAAAGTTTTATAATTTTTTTTATAAATGTTTTTTAAAATTTGTTGTTTAAAAAATACTATCAACTTATTTGTATATTATATATATGTATATATATTGAATTCATTTTTTTTGCAAGAATGAATGAAATAAATTCATTTTTTTATAATATTAGTTATTTTATTGTGTAATTTATTGTAATTTGCAGTAAATACAATAATTATTCATTCACTCACATTTAATTTAATAATTGATTCTTTGTGTTTAGTCATGGAAGGTGAGATAAATTAAATTTTGAATTTCAAGGACCTATTTCTATACTTTGATGTCAGAAAGAGGTCACTGAATCACATGAATCTGTCAATATTTAGAACACTGGTATGAGACTTAGCTGAGTCACATGATCATGGACTAAGTTGAGTATGGATTTCTCATGAGATGTGCAACTTTCAACAGTAATACTGATCGGCAAATTTTATCCTGTGTTCAGTAATAAGTTGGGTAGATGTTATGGTTCTCCCGAGACATTCACCTTCTTTTATTCATTATATCGTATAGTCTTCCCGCAAGTAGACTCTGTTAGTTGATCTGGACTGTGTTTCCTCAGTTTATTTTATGTATATATTTAAAAAGGAAATTGCTGGTAGGATAAATGCATTGCAGTGCCTGAAAAAGACTATACAGACGTAACAGTTCACATTCATACCTTTCTAATAGTTACTTATTCCATACTTCTGTCAAATTTACAATATAAAAAGATACGGGAAAATGCCCTCCAAGCAAATGGGGAGCAGCAGATAAAAGGACTTTGATTTTGAAAAGTCATCTAATGATTTTCATGTGTGATGGAATATTCTAACAAATGGATTGTTAACCCCGATATAAGTGTTAAAATTTTGGAAGAATGATTGTTAATTTGATTGAATTTTAGTGGCATATTTTAACTGGGCACTATCAAATCTAAATTTGTTATACAACATTTAGATACGTTAATAAAATATCTCATCACTGAAATATGTTCTCCTTTTTTCTGGTGTAGTTCTTATTAGTCCACTGTTAAATTTTCTATAGGGTTTCTTTCTTTTCATATATCATTGATTTCATCAGAATTTATTTTTCTCTCATGCTACTAATATGCTATTTAAATTCCATTAAAATTTTCATAATACTATTATTATTTGTCACAAAAAATGTTTCCTTGCTTAACTTTTGTTTGAAAAGCCTTGTTTAGATATTGCTTATAGAATTTAAAATATATATACTTGTTTTTGTAGAATACACCGATAGTAAAAAAAAAAATGCATCGAAATTAAGCCAAATTTTTATCTAATTGAACTAATGCCAGGACAGTTCTATTATTGTGGTAAATTTTATTGCGAGGCAAATAGCCCTTATTTATTTACTTTTTGTAGTCTTAGAAACTTTAAGCCTATTTTAATTTTGAAATCTTTTTTCAGCATTTTTTTTCCCCTTACTATTATGATTCTGTTTTATAGGGTACTAAAGTGACACAAAGTTCTAAAGCTATTTCCTATCCAAGATTCAGTTTTAAAGTTGAATTTGGGGCAGAAGATGGCGACAAAGAATTTTTGCTTGCAGCTGATTCACCTATTCAGCTTAATGAATGGCTGCATTCTATATGTCAGCACATAAAAGATTATGGTCTGTTAATTTTTCCTATTTGAAAATTTTATAATTATTTATTATAGTTTATATTCCTTGTAACTCTTCACATTAATCTTTTCTGGCTCATATGTTGCAATCTGGGAAAACATACATTTACTTTCTCTGAATGAATGCATATTATCATATTAATATCAGCAATTATTTTGATGTTATTATATTATGGCATATTATTTTGGTAATATATGTGTTATTACAGTTACTCAGTTTATAAAGAAATCATATCCATAAAATATTCCATTATTCTGTCCATCTTAAATAACATAATAGACAAGCATATTTGATGTCAAGCTTGCATAAAAGTGAGAGGTTTTTAATTTTAATGCATATTATAAAATATGAGCCAGAACTTTAATACACATTCACTGTATAACTGCTGTGAGGACTTCTAAAGAATAAATGCTCAAAAGCGTTATAATAAGTCTCATAACCATAATTTGTGCAATTTATCAAAAAAGAAAATATATCCCCCTAAAAATAATATGAAAGGAAAAATACGCCAAAGTACGAAAGCATAAGGCTAATAAAGCTATTGCTATGTCCATCTGGGATATTCAAAACAGCATCTACTTGAAGACATTTGAATTGATTGAAAGGTCAGTCAAGCCAAGTATGTTCTGTGGCTTCTGTTCTTTTATTGAATAGGATTTGCAAACAATATATTGCAATCTGTATAATCTTTCAATATAGGTATTGTCCAGAAATATGGTACTTGGCCATCATTGAGGCAGTTTTGTATCCCCATGCAATGATGATGATCATAATAATCCTGCTGTTACAAACTAGCATGGCTATGAATCATGTTTCTGATAAAAAGCTGTTATCTGTGCACTTTTGACAGTGATGTTTGTTGTTCTACTAGTAGGTGTTGTGTGTGTCAAAAGAATAAATACTACCCCATGACAGTTCCACTAATAGCCTATGCAGTACCGTGCTTCCAAGATTAATCATTGAAACAGTTTAAAATAAATTTATTCTGATGAGGGTGGCATGGTAGTAATCGGGCATGAGTCAGTGATGATATTTTTTGGCCGAAACTAGGTATATCACCTGACACTGTGATATCATCTATGGTACTTGATTTGAATGCAGTATAGTATGCTGTATATTGCATTGACTAAAGCAGTTGTTCTCAACCTGTTTTGTTCCAGCACCTCAGAATATTTCTTCAAAATTGGAAGTATTTAAATGTGATTAAGAAATAGATTAATCAAAAGAATACTGGGCGAAATTCTGTTAAAAAAATTTAGATAAGTCTGTTTAAGAACTAGTAATGATACAAAATGAAAGGGAATTCTATGTTGAAAATTAGCCATTATAAAACAGTATAAATAAGGAATAAATAAAAGATATATGTTTGGACAAATTCAAAGTGAATAAATTTAGGTTTGTGTTTAATTAAATTCTTTATAATAATAATTTTTTTAAAAATAGTTATGAATTTCTTTTACTGCTTTTCAATTTCTCTTTATAACTGTTACAAAAACTTTCTTGTTTTTATTTTAAATTCTAAATATGTAAAATGTACATTTATAGTCATTAAATATATTCATAAATACTTCCATTATTTATATGATTTTAATATTTTTTTCCCTTTTCAGAACTATGGAAGCCAGCGTCTGAGTCTTTAATGGAAATCTCATCACCATGTGCCTGCAGAAATTCACAGTTTTTGAGGCATAGGAACAGTTCATTGTATGATGAAACACCTTTCCTTGGTAAGTTTCCAGAGTGCTAAGCACAACAGTGTGGATGCATGTATTAAGAAATTGGAAATTGCACATTAAAAAGCTAGGATACCAACTAATACATATCCTGCCAACTATGAGTTATCTCGTAGGTCAAAGTTTGTGTTTAGGTGCCAGTTACGTGTTAATTCATAGAACATTTCTCTTTTACCTATACCACACATAATAGAATTTGTAGCATTTTCATGTTTCATGTTACAGTATTTTCATGTTTATTGTTCTTTGAAGGTATTTGGCTTTGGGGATTAGGAAAAAGCACAACAATTTGGTGCAATTCAAGAGATTTATTATAATTAATATAAATATAAGTAATTATAAAGTAAATAACATAGGATCTCGAAAATAATCAAACAATTTATAATAATCTTTCTTATAATAATTGTTGCAAAAATAAATAATCTTTGTTATAAGCAACCATCAACTACAATTATACTCATTGTCTATGCAGTCATAAATCATTTTACCTCAATAACCGACTACGATATAACTCATGTAATTGATCAAGCAATTGAAATTATCTAAATTTAGTATCTTTCCCATAAATACATGTTTTGTATTGCTACAAATTGTACAGGCACGGTAAGATGGCTTCCCCGCAAAGTGGTATTAGGGTTGCCATAATATGGCAAAGGAAGGCAGGGTTGCCACATTAGGTGAGAAATCGCCCATTTGGCAACAAAATTGGCAATATACCATGGACGGATGGAAAACCATCTAGAATGAATTCTTTTCGGGTTAGCCCAGAATGTCCTCAAACACAAGCTGAAAGCTATATAAACCCTGCTGGTTCGTAGTCAGTGAGTGTGTGCCTCGTCTAACGAGCTGATAGTTGGTCATTGAGTGAGTGTCTTGAAGTCTAGCGCCGAGTTGGTCATCGAGTGCATTGAGAGAGTCTTTTAGTGTATCGCGAGATAGTGCATCATTGAGTTTTGTCTTAGACTGTGCTGAGTCAAGAGTTATACTCTTGTGTATCATCGAGTGCATCTCGAGTTGTAGTGTGGAGAGTCTCGAAAGTACGTGGACTTAGTTCCAAGAACAACCAAGCAGAGTCGGGAGCTGTACTCTGGTGATTTGCAGTGAAGCTGTCTCCACCGTTATTGCCTGATAGTGTGAAGGCTGTGTCGCTGAACATGTCAGCGTGTCTATAACAGTTCGACGACTGTAAAAGTGATTTTGGAGCTTTCTGATTAATATTGGTAAATAAAGTGTGTTTCGATACTTCATCCAGTGTCGTTGTTATTCACTCCAAATCTACGAACCCTGTACGAACGTTAAGGAAGAAAATAATGTAACAACTGGTGTCAGAAAGAAAAATCATAACAGTATTTTTATTTTACAATTAATTAAAATTCGTTTGTGTGGTGGAACCATTTTTGAAATGTCACCTGGCAGCGAATATGTTAAGAAAAAGTCTCTAACATGTTTCTTTTCTTTATTTTGTTCGAGTTATAATATACTTTTTAAATATTTCATACATATTTACTTTTATACTGTTTTACGTCGAAAACAGAAATGCAGAAACAAATACTGAAGCTTACAAAATTAACATTCTGAGAGACACCTATATTACACAAGAGGAAGGTTGCCAGTCAACGTTCTCCAAAAAGACAAAAGCTCAACTTTTGCTACCACCCCAAGCTCCCAATCAATGTAGCAAACTTTAAAAATTTCTCTACCTTGTAAGGATTATGTTAATTTTATTAACAGTAAAATTTTTAGTTAAACTTCCTTTCTTATTGCTTCTTAATTTCAACTTACCACTTCTGACCAGAATGTAGTTATAGAATCACGTCTGAATGCTAATGGGAAAGAGCGGTATTTAAAAACGAAGTTCTACTGTCTTAGTTAGAGAGATACCAGATATTCTGGCTAGCACGTGTCTGCCTTTTTAGACTACTCTCTCGTAAGCTATTATTATGCTCGACCGTACTTTAGGCCCTTGATAGCTTCGCAGTCTATTAACGTTAAAGGGCCAACTCTGTTAGAATTTTGATAGCTTCGGCTATACCTCTTTAGTTTAGGTTAATTCTTAGTATCTTAAGTTCAAGCCGAAGTGTCGGTTTTATTTTACACTCCAAGACAAAGTCTTGTTAAACTTTAGTTGGAATAATAAAAGGGTTAGTTTACCCTTCTATCTTGTTGTTTCCTGTCACATGAACTCAAGCGATTATTCGCTTATCAGTTCTTAAGATTCTTCACTTCCAGTAGTAACTCAGAATTCACAAAGTGAGGAACTCTACAACCTCATGGCCCCCCGGGGTCACCACTCCCAGTTCTCAGGTTTCACCGTGGTGGGAAATATGCACACCTGGAGATCTGACTGGTTGTTTAAAATGTTTCCACCAGTACTACACAGGCTCAGATCCTTATCCCTGTGGGCCAGCCACACCAAGTGGAGTACAGAGTTCTTACTTTCTATCCTTACCGAACAGCTACCACCCCCTCCGGTGGAGTACAGAGTTCTCACTTCTTTTCTCAGGGCAGCAATCCTCGCCAATCCCTCCCCCCAGTCCAACTTCATGAAATGATCTTCCTTCAGAGTTCTGAAGCTGCCACGTTCATCATTTTATACTTGCATGGCCGAGACTGATTAGGTACAGATTCCAGCCAGTAGCTTTATAGAGTTCTCTGTGTCAACTCCTGGAGGCGGTCACTAGAGATAACACAAGTTATTAAATAACTATGTTTTCAAAAAAGAATTGAAGTTTTTTGCTTAGTTTGGTATTATCTGCAATCGATCAGTATAATTTAATTTATAAACCAAGTAATTTGTTTTTTATAAATATGTACATACAATTTTTCCAAGTTCTTTAGGCCTCTAACAAAAGTTTGATTTTTAAATTATTATCTATTGATTTTGAACACCAGTGTAGGCACGAGTATGCTTATTTTTTTTTAAATTTATTTTTATAACAGATGATGCTGAATGTTCCAGTTCAAGTTATGGAAATACTTCAGCTGCATTCCAGAAGAAAAACCATCGTGTATCTACACCACCATTTTGCTCTTGGTCATCGAGTTCTTCCTCCACGAACAGTTCATTAGAGTATCAACATCATCCATTTTCCAAATCGCTATACCGTAGGTCTATGAGCGCATACTTTCCATCTCTGTTCCAGTCTTGAAGGGGAGATCGTGTATGCATAATCATAGGCTAAATCATGACTGATAATCTCTTGAAATGTTAATATAAACTAGTCATGTTCGCAATAGAAAATATTTATCATTCATGTCAAGAGCCATACATTGTAAAGTATTTTAGTTAATATTTGTGCATGTTAATAGTGGAGTACAAGTGATTATATTACTTGAATTAATAAACTTTTGATATCATGGAAACTGAACTTGTGATATTGAATGAGATTTTTTTTTTACGTTTATTCTGTGCGTGCATTAATTAAGCAATGATGATACCAAGTAAGGATATAGACAAAAAAGAATTTTGAAATTAAAGACTAGTGAAGAATTAAAAGGAAGAGGGAAAAAAAGATTTAAACAGCACTAACCAAGTTAAAATTCTCTTATTTAATGATATTTTTATGTACTGTAATAGTAGATTAATATTGAACTGTTAGATGTGATTTTATACGTAATTACAATAATATCTCATGCTAACTTATACACAGGGTGTCCCGTAGTAAATGCTGCGACAAACTTCTGTTGGAGATTGGGCACATGTAAGGATTAAGAATTGCGTAGGAATCCATACCCAGAAATGTCGGGTAAGTGGTAGCAGATGTAGAGGAAGGGAAAGGAAAGAAGAGAGTGATTAATTTGAAACATTTATTCGACATGAATGCTAATGGTGTATGGCAGCTTGAATGTTGCAACAGATGCTTGAAGTTTGCACCATCAGATGCCAAACATGCCCGACTCCGATGAAAAATTGATTGCCGCACATGTTCAAACCGGGAATTTGACTGTAGCAGCTGCGCAGGCGAGTCTTGCCATGAGATCCATTTTAGACACAACAGGATTGTGATACAGGACACTTGATGCCATCCCACAAAAAGAAATCATGGCTCAATAAATCTGCTGAGCGTGAGGGCCAGGGAACCGGTCCACCATGCCCAATCCATCGATGCAGGAAGAATCTGTTCAAATGGCTACAAACATCCAGTACAAAATGAGCAAGCGCTCCGTCATGTTGGAACCACATGTTCACAAGCTATCCATTCGTATACCATGCATTTATGCATCATGGAAAGAGCATAAACACACTCTTATAGCATTTATGCTCTTCATATGGTGCCTACCGCTCGAAGGAGACAATCCTCGCTTTTCACTAGCACTCTCCTGTAGAACACCCGCTGGCGACGTCCAAAGACATTTCTGGGCAGGGGGTTCAAATGCAATTCTTAATCCTTAAGATGTGCCCTACCTTACCCAGAAATTTGTCGCAACATTTATGGCACACTGTGTATATATGGTAACTTAAAAACTTGTGTGATATGGAAATCAAATATTGTTGATTGACAGATTTTCTATAATACTAGGCTAAAAATCGTGGACCATTAATTAACAGTTAGATGAAAACCGGGATTTGATAGTATTAACTTAAGACTAACTTTTGTTGATGGTAATTTAATCTGATTAAAAATTTATGGAATAAAATCTCATTCCATGTTTTCCCATCCTTTCCCTTGACTGAAATGCAATTTTTCAGCGGTCTCGAAGCACGACTAAGATATATACCTAGATTTAGTATGTATTGTTCGAACTTTAGGTATTTGACACAAAATTGGCCGTTTTGACATGACATGCCAATTCTTTCAATTCATATTTCTATTGACTCAAATTTGCCAAATATTGTTTGAAATTTATGTGAACTTGGAGGAACTCAAAATTCACATTTTTCAGTTTGCCGAAGAATCACATACTTGAGAATATTCTTAATTGTATAACACCCATTTCTTTCCTTTTATATTTTGAACTAGCTTGAAAATGAATCATTATTACTTCTATTAATTTTAAATGTGTGCCATATATAGTGCTTTGAATAAAAAATTATATTTTTTTTCAGGGTATATAAACATACATACTTTAAGATGATAGTAAAAATGTTGTCGCGGTTACAAGTCAAAATGTTTCCCAAAAAATTTTAAAAATTATTTTTAGATACAATTTTAAAAAATTAATAAATAATAACAATAGGCTATTTGGAATGAACCTAAATTTCGAATTTTGGGAGAAAGAATCAAGTAAGTTTATAAAAAAAAGAGATAATAATATATATCAAACTCAATTAACATGAAGTAATGTTTTAGAAACTACTCGTGCATTTTTAAAAACTTTGGCATAATGCGGAGTTAGTAGAAAATTAAAAAAAGGCATGTTATTTCAGAAAATTCCGATTGTGTCAAAATACCTATATTAAAACAATGCTATATATAAGTTAAATACATATCATAACTCGTGCTTTTGAGACAGGAAAAATGCAAGTTGAATTTCGTTAATCAGCCCAGTAGAACAGGAGACATAGAGCTGTCCCCCCTTTTTGGAAGGGGGTCGCAGTGTACTTATATTGAGAGAAAAAGCAGTAACTAACACTAATTAAATTCACATATATCAGATTCAAATAATTTATGGGGTTTCACCAACTGGTATGTTGCACAGGTTTTATGCAAGGATTTATTTTTAGCAGTTGCATGAAAGGGGTCTTTTTCACATTGCTATACGTTACATTGTTCTTTAGAAATTGTCTGTCTTTTCAGTTTTCTAATTGTGTTTATTATAGCTTCTAATACTGAATTTTTTAGTTGATTCAAACTTTTTTTATGTATATTGAAATCGCAATAAAACAATGCTACACATTCCACCTTGTCCGAACTGTCTGTTTGTATGTAACTGCTAGATACAATAAGCAGATTTAGGAAGTATTTTCTTCATTTGGCTAAAAAAGCTTAGCTTGACAGCTTTCAGAACACCTAACAAATGCAATAAATTTATAAACCTCATTGTAATACAAAGCTCATACACAGTACATGATATCTTTTTTGTAAGTATTGTAACCTGCTTATAAAATGTACGTGCAATATTGAATGACTTTATTACAGTGGTGCTGTTGGTCCTTTCCAGACATTTCCAGTAGCACTTGTTTTACATATGACTTATCATGAAAAATTGTTTTGTCGCCGATAATACTTTCTTCAGGAACACATCTTTTCACAAGAATTTTCTTTCAAATATTTTCATGACAGGATAATTTGCTTTTACCAGTTATGTGCATTAAATGAATAAAGAAATAGTTGTGTTCATTATGAATACTTGCTCATTTATTTATGCATATATATAAATAAACTACGCTATCCATATTTGGAATCTTGCAGTTTTTTTTGGGGGGGGGGAGTATGCTTCATATTATGGATGAGGCTTGCTAGTCTTTGTTGTTTTTGAATTTTCATGCAATTTTTTTTCCTGTATCAAAAATTTATATTCAATAATTTTACCAGTGATAGTAAGTCCATTTTTATGTTATGCTAATTCACTCATTTAAATAAATTTAATTCAAATAATAATAGCTTGGTTTAAATAACAAAAATTTTCATCTGCACAACTATATAGTTCACAAAAGCTCCCACTTTCTCTGTTGCAATCAAAAAGAAAGTATATACTTGCTACAACCAAAAAGAATATATTCGCATTTATCAAATATTGCATTCTGTTGTACTAGTAGCACATTTTTGGTCATTATCCTTTAAAATAGAGGTAACAGCAAAACTTATGTTAATTCATACTTGAAGCGTCTAAAATTTAATTTCTTTTCGCTACTTAACATTTAGTGGAAATTTGGCAAAATGTTGCCTCTTGTGTACTTTAATGTTAACTGATAGAAATAAATTTTAGATAATTAGAATCTCAAACTTGTCATTAATAAAATTTCCTTATTAACTAACTTCTAACTAGTAAACATATAGTAATGGAATACAAAAAATTCCTAGCCCTAGTAATCAGGTATAAATATTGAAAATGAGATTATCATACATAATGAGTTTCAACAAAATATTTGCAAAAGCTAGTAAAAATAGTGATATTGAACAGTCAGGTCCAATTGAATCAATTGATCAATAAATGAACAATCAATTGAATAGTCAATGAATGATTACTAAATAGAATATATAAATATATTCTATTTAGTAATCATTCATTCAAATGTATTTGTAAAAATGAATAATATTGTTCTGTGATTAGCATTAAAATGTGAAATGAATGACAATCAAGAAAGTGTTTTTTTCTGTATTTATAAAATGTGTTTTGAAAATGTTTTTTTAAAGATATATTTTTCAAACAATATATTATTTTAGCTATTACTTTAATAATGAAACTTTACTTGTAAAATTAGATTTCACCATATATATGCTAAGCTGTCAGTAATGGAGGCAAAGAAAAACCTATAAAAAGAACAGATATAATCAGTATAGTAATTCATAGCTGTTGTAATTCAAAATTAAATTATTTTTTAAATATACAGTAAATATGATCTCCGTAAAGGAGAAAAGATTTTAATAGTTGACATTTATGGTAGCTCACTACCATATCAAATTAGTGTTTTCTGGAAAAACTGAAATTTAAAAACTAATTCTTCAGTATTGTATAGTAAGCTTAGTAATAGGAGCAGTAATTTAACAGCACTAAAACTTTGCAATATTCAGTGTAATATTTTGACACAATTTTTGATTACTGTATCAGAAAATTTAATTTTTATCTGTGGCAAAAGATATGTAATGAGGTTTAAAATATTGAATCAATTTTCATTGTAACTTTTCATTTTTGCCTTTAGAGACTTCTATTAAATTTAGAAATATTGATTTTGCATCAGCATATGAAAATGGATATCGGTGAGTTTCATTAATATTCCACTTTGCGTTCTTGATACTTGGAAAAATTACTTAAACTGTGTAATATGTATAATTAAATTGTAAAAATTTGAAATATCTTATATTTTAACTGTGTAATATCGTGTTCTTTTTATTTTTCAGAAAAATTTTAAAATAGATTATAATTTTATTATTAAAAAAAATCTTAGATGTATATGAAATACTGTAGCTCTGATTTTTTAATACATGTCAAAATACTAAGAAAAGGAACAATTATGTATTTTATTACATGACTGTTTCATGAATTAATATATGCATATGTTATAGTCATTATTCTTAATATATGCATATGTTTACGGATTAATTATTGTAAACTGGGGTTTTGATCTTCATTAAATATGAATAAATGATTACATTCTTAACACATTGTGGATAGGAAAGAAGCTTCAATGTAACTGTGGAGATGTTACATTGATGATTATTGTGCATTTGCTTATGTGCATTCTTGTTCATGGGAAGACAGTCAT